AGGATGGCGGGCTTGGCAACATCAATTATGGATGCGCTGCGTGTGGGACATAAAAAATTCATGAGGCCAGGGGCTGCCCAAGGGTGAGCATCAGCATCAGCCTCACCAGAGCTGCTGCTGGCTTTCAGGAATTTTGCCATCTCGTTGTTAAACCCAGATTAAAAGTCAAGGAGTGAGTGCTTTCTAGCTAAGTAAATCATGTTGTATTTATTATTTATTGCATTTATTTACTGTGTATGTGAGCTGGGGCATGTGGGTTGGAGGTTAGATGATAATTTGTGGAAGTCCATTTTCTCTCCCATGGTGTGGGTCTCAGGGATCAAACTCGGGTTGTCGGACTTGGTGGCAATCATATCATAAATAAGAAAGTTGTCAGAGGGGTGGCACAGGTCTTTCAGCCAAGTTGGAGAGCAGAGGCAGGAGGTCAGCTTATATAGTAAGGGGAACAGCCTGGGCTACATGATACTTTGCCTCCAAAACCAAAACAAAATAAAAACGTAAGTGCACTTTCTGGGATGCAAATGCCATTTCAGTGAAGCTATAATTAAGGTGCAAAAGTTGGGTTGGGTGGGATGGAGAACATCTTTAATCCCAGCACTCGGGAGACAAGCTGGGGGGATCTCTGTGAGTTTGAAGCCAGCCTGGAGTACATGGACCCTGTCTCAAAGCAAAACAAGGGGTGGGCGAGAAATAAAACAAAAACAAAAAAGCATATGTTAGGGCTGAGGATGGTTTGGCAGGCAAAGTGTTTGCTGCCCAAGTTTGAATCTCCGGAACCCAGCACCACTGTAATCTCATGCTAGAGGTGGGGGCAGGGATGTCCTGGGGCTCAGCGGTCAGGGCTGGGTACAGGGTTGGATGTAGGGGGAGTGAGGAGGACACGGGTGTCAATCTTGGCTTCCACATGCACAGCAGAGGTGGTAGCTGGGCCATTGGTCCCCAGCATCACACAGTGGCCACCAGCATAGAGACACCCCATGGCCTGACTCTGGCCTATACCCGAATTTATCCTCTCTCTCCTAAGTCTGTTGGAAACAGCTCAGGGGCTTCCGAGCTTCACATTTCTCTTGTGGCTATGGTGGCCTCAAGGACACCATAAGAATCCTCAGATCTTTGCAGAAGCCTGGGCTTCTGACCAACTGTGGCCACCATGGTGATGGGACCTGGGGACCGATGACCAGTCAGAAATAGTGTCAGCTGTGCCAAAACCCAAGGGCCCGTCCGGTCCACTTGCATTCATCTCTGGCTATGCAAATGAGTATGTGTGGGGTATGACAGGAAGACTTCATTTACAAAATCAAGTTGGGGCTGTGAGCAAGTGGGGGCCGTAAGCAAGTCAGAGGTCCTGAACAAGCAAGTTGGGCAAGTGGGGGGCCCAAATGAGAAAGGGGTGGGGCATGAGCAGGGAGGGGCATCTCCCAGCATTTACAATGACTTCAGGAAGCAATTTTATTTGGGGCATGGGATGTCATTGTATGGCCCTGACTGCCCTGGAACTTGCTTTGTAGACCAGGCTGGGCTCAAACTCACACAGATCCACCTGCTGGGATTAAAGGCATGTGCCACCACCCCTTGGCTTTCCCCACTGGTTTTTCTGTGGGTGGCCAGGACTTGAACTTAGGTCTACATGTGTACAACAAGCATTTTTCCCACTCAGTTGTCTCTAAGGACACTTGGTGGGGCGTAACGATGTCCCAAGATGCTGAGGCTTCCAAGGTACCTGGGAAGTGATGTTGGTGCTTTGTGACAGCCCTCCAGCTTCCTGGACTGTGCTTGAGTGGGCTGAGGGGAGGGGGGACAGGACGAGGGACAATGATGAGGATGACACATGGGTCACCCTGGTTTGAACCTCCAATTGCTGGGACCCATGTGTCTTTCCACACTTCTCCAGAATTCTTCACACTCCACTTAACATTCAGGAATCAGTTAGTCATTGCATACACATTCACTGAGCACCAGCTGTATGCTTGGTGGGTTATTCCATGTAGACCCTACCAAGACCAAGAAAGACCCCACTCCCACCCTCTCAACCTCTCCCCTCCTACTTCCTACACCTACAGACCTGAGGGGCAACATCCCCAGCACAGCATACACTAGGCATGGTGGCACTCCCAGCATTCAGGAGGTGGAGGCAGGAGGATTGGTAGTTCACAGCTACACAGCAGGCTTCAGGTCAGCCTGACTCAAAACCAAAACCAGGAGACAGGCAACCAAAAACTGAGCGAAAAGAAAAAGCAGGAAGTGGGCCAGGGAGTGCTCATGAGCCTGGACCTTTGTGCTCCAGAAGGCCTCCCAGAAGCCACCACAGCAGTGCAAAGGCCCTGTGGCTTGACCTTGTAGCAGAGACCAAGATTGATCTCTGGTTCCAGAGCCGGCCACTGTCCCTACTGAAGGGGAAGATCCAATGTAATCCCAAGCAGGGAGCCTGAGGCTCAAGAGACATCCAGAGCTGTTGTGGGGAGCTGGGAGCTGCAGCCACTGATTGGGTTCGGAGTACAAAACTCAAGTAGGTTTGGCAGATCACGAGAAGTGTAAGGTAGACCTGCTGGTGATGGTGCATGTGTTTAATCCCAGTGCTAGGGAGATGGACCTCTGTGAGTTTGAGGTTAGCTTGGGCTATGTATAGTGAGACCTTGTCTCAAACAAAACAAAAACCTAAAAAACCCACCAAGTATAAGAAGTGGCCCAGGGCTCAGTAGAGGATGTGGGGCTCTGATTTTGGATTTGGGAGTATTGTGAGCAGCTATGGTGGCCTGGGTGGCCCAAGGCAGTGTGGCCCTGCCCCAGGGCCTTTGCACATGCACTTTCCACTACTGTCCCCTCCCTCTGACCTGTCCTGGGGGTTCAAAGGCTCCCAGATAAGCTTCCTCTCTGTGGACCTTGCTCTACCCTTTTCCCACCCCAAGGCCCAATCTTTGCTTTTTTCTTTCCTGTTTATTGGGTCGCTGTGTTTTCTTCCTCCCCCTGGTTCACAAAGCCTCTTTAGGGTGGTTTTGGGGTTCCAGCCAGACACAGTGGGCACATGCCTGTTATCTCACTATGAAGGGGCTAAGGCAGGAGGATTAGGAGTCTAAGGCCAGGCTGGGGATATGAAAATATGCCTGGAAAAAAAGAGTAAAACTACATAAAAAACGAATTAAAGGATGTAGTGAGTGATGTGGCCTGTGAATTCAACTCCAAACCCAAGATGGTCCCCAAATTATGTTATAATCAGAAGATGCAGAATCGGAGCACCAAGGAGACAGAGGCAAGGTCTCTTTGGGTCAGTTCTGTGCCCCTGGTGTTGGCTACACGGCTGTGCTCCATAAACACCCATTAGGCAATTGAGTGAATGAATGTTGGGGCCGAGTTCTGGAGGGTAGAATGGGCTGTTTAGCTCTAGACTTTGACTTGGTGCTATGGCATTGGGCGGGCAGGGACCAAGGCCATCGTACCTCTTTCCTGGGAAAGTCCCTGCCCAAAAGCCTCATGTGGCTGCACACAAACCCCTTAGGCAGGAAGGCCTGTCCCCTGGGACAACCCACTATCCTGGTCTTTTAGGACAATGGGTTTCAGAACAGGAAGTGGAGGCCAGCTGCTGGCTGCCCCAGGTGGCAGCTCAGGCTCAATAGGAGTTGGGACAGCCAGGATAGGCCGCAGCTATGCCCCCACCAGTCTTCCGGAAGTCCATCCACACTCTCAACTTTACTCCTGAGCCAGAATCCAAATTTAGCTTTGTCCATGGGGAAAGCAAGGCCCAGAGAGGGCCAGTATTCCTCCTGGAGTCACACAACCCCCAAACCAAACAGGGACTCCAGACTTTGTCCTCTGAGAGCCCCCCTTTGTTCAGAGTCAATTGAGAAACAGCCCCTGGGTGGTGTAGAGGTCCTTCTGGTCCCCTGTCTGTGAGAGAATCTTTTTTCTTCTCTGTTTTTTGGAGAGGGTCATGTAGCTTAGACTACCCTCCAGCTCCCCACGCAGCTCAGACTGACCTTGAACTTCTGATCCTCCTGCCTCCACCTCCAAGTGCTGGGGTGGCAAGTATGCAATGTCTGGTGTACGTGGTGCCCTCAGACACCAGGGAGGAGGCAGGAGCACTCAGGTGTGGAGCCATTGAGGGCTGACTGTTCTCTTCTGCTGTGTGGCCTCCAGGTTCGGGGGACTTTGAGGGGACAGATTCCACCACTGTGGAATTCTCTCCTGGGCCACTCAGGACGCTGTGCTCTTTGAAGAATGGCGTTGGCTGAAGTGACGAAATGGATTCACGTGGCAGGCGCCCTGTGTCAATATCTGTGTCTGGCCCTGGCTGGTGGATAGCGGGGTGGGGAGGTCGGGGGATGAGGAGGTGGGCAGGGAAGCTGCAGAGCCAGCCATGTGTCCCTGACCGCTAAGGCCAAGAAGAGGATGGTGAGAAGGCGGGGTGAAGGGGTGCCCTGGGGTCTGGACTCATACAAAGGCCAGCTTTGTAGAGATGAGCGGGCTGAGTAGGTGGTGCATGGCTGACCAGGGTCAGGTCTCAACAAGGCCTCTGTGTGTCCCTCGGCTTTTCCGGGTTTGCTCACTCCTAGAGGGGTCAGAGGTCCCCGAGAACACAGCAGAAGAGAGGTCAGGCCCTGACTTCCCTCTGTGGTGGGAGGAGGTAGTTGCAGCCATATAGCCCTGTGTAGCTCAGAGGGAATGCTGTACTGGAGAGTCGGGCTCTGGGCACTGGGAGGTTTGTAGGAGTTTATTAGGGAAGAGGCATGAGAACTCTCAGTGGTTTTGAGCACTGTCTCTTGGGGAAAATTCTAGAACTGCTTGATCTAAATACTGTAACAGAAGGCTGTGAGTGCTCCATGGGGGCCAGCATGCTTATCCCCTTGGCTCCTTGCCTGCTCTTGCATCAAAAGCCTCAACTCCCACCTAGGAAACAACCAGCTGGCTATTGGGGAGTAAGGATGATGCCCAGTCCTGCCCAGACCTTACCATTCTGCATGCATTTCTTTGACCCGAACACCTTTGACCTGTCATCTCCCAGGGCCATGGACACCTTCAGCACAAAGAACCTGGCCCTGCAGGCCCAGAAGAAAGTTCTCAGTAAGATGGCCTCCAAGGCCATGGTGGCTGTATTTGTGGACGACACCAGCAGCGAGATCCTGGATGAACTGTACCAAGCCACCAAAGAGTTCACCCGCAGCCGGAAGGAGGCGCAGAGGGTGGTGAAGAACCTGGTGAAGGTGGCGGTGAAGCTGGCCGTGCTGCTGCGGGCAGGTCAGCTGGATGGCAATGAGCTGGCCCAGCTGAGACGGTTCAGGGGCAGGGTGCACAGTCTGGCCATGACAGCCCTCAGCTTCCACCAAGTGGACTTCACCTTCGACCGGCGAGTGCTGGCCGCGGGGTTACTGGAGTGCAGGGACCTGCTGCATCAGGCCACTGGCACGCACCTCACCGCCAAATCCCATGGCCGCATCAACCATGTCTTTAGCCACTTTGCCAATGGCGACTTCCTGGCTGCGCTGTACGGCCCAGCAGAGCCCTACCGGAGTCACCTGCGCCGCATCTGTGATGGCCTCGGGAGGATGCTGGACGAGGGCGGCATCTGACCTGGTCTGGGGACCGTTTCTGTCCCCGAGACCACCACCACTTGTCCCAACTTCTGCTCCTCTTTCTACTTCTGAAATACTGTCATATGGACCAGGCTCTCTATGTAGCCGAGGCTGACCTTGAACTACTGATGCTATTCCTGCAGTTGCCTCCTGAGTGCCGGGGTGATGGGTGTACTCCACCACCTCGCTGTTGGGCCTTGTCATTCTTTCAGACAAGATCATGGAGAATTGGGAGAAAAAAATTGTACTCCCTGACCTCTGGCCCCTGCCAAATGCCTATGTTTCTTTCCTAACTCTCAGGGCCTCCCAAGGTGACTTGCTTTAGGAAATGGAGTTCAAGCCCTGACACCAGACTAGGATTGAAGCGATGCCAGTTTGCTATGTGGGCTGAGGACGGAGCATACTTCGGTGTTAGGATCCAGAGGAGACCCCATTTGGAGGCTGCACGCAGCCCGGCATCTGAGAAAAGCAAGAAACTGCCAAGTGCCGTGTCCCGGCGCTCACCGCCAAGCCTGACGACTGGAGTTTGATTCTCAAACCCCACACTGGAAGCAGAGAACCAGTTTTGGCAAGTTGGCCTCTGACCTCCACATGGCCCGCCCATGTGACCATACAGCAAGGAGCCACTGATCTGTTGGGAAAGCTGAGTCCTCACTGGGAGAGAGGAGGCTGGGGATGTCAGAGGCTGCCCCCATCTTCAACAAGGCTGAGTTACTGAAAACTGTTAAATTATAACCCAGTATTTGGGAATCAAACCGTTCTTTTCTCTTTGTATTGCAGTCAGGGCTTGTAACCAACACTGACTGCACATGTGGGAGCATGATGTCATAACTGGCTTACCCTTACGGTCACTGTGAGACAGAACTTTTGTCCTTGGAAAGTGGGCAGGCTTTAGCTACATTTGTGTACAGCTGAGGTGTGGACTAGTCCTCTAGAATTCCCCAGTGAGGGGTGTTAGAGCCAAGTCTAGAATTGCCTAATGGGGGACGGGGGCATGGCCAGCTGTAGCACCCACATGGTGGGGAAGACCCTGCACGGGCAGATGATATATGGCTCAGTGGTTGTGCAACATTGCAGGTGGTAAGGTTATCTGGGGTGTTGGGGCCTGTGGGAGCCAGAGGCTTCATTAGTGTTTCAGACAGAGGCCAACACTTACAAAGAAGATTCTACCAACAGCCACAGATAGGTTTTGTTTTTCGAGACAAGGTTTCTCTGTGGCTTTGGAGGCTGTCCTGGAACTAGCTCTTGTTGACCAGGCTGGGTCTCGAACTCGCAAAGATCCACCTGCCTCTGCCTCCCAAGTGCTGGGATCAAAGGCGTGAGCCACCAATGCCTGGCTACAGTTTTTTTGTTTGTTTTGCTTTTTAACAAAACAGTATCTTACCCTGTAGGCCAGGCTGGCCCGGAATTCATCATGATCTTGCTTTGTCAGCATGCCAAGGGCTGGATAGAGTCCTAGCCTGAGCCTCACGCTGCCCTGCTGCAGTCACCTGTCCTGTCAGCTCCTTGAAGCCTTTCTCACCATTCTAGCTCCACAGGGGCACTTGTCTCCCTTTAGGCCCTGGGCTGGATCTTGAAACTGGGACACCAACATGCATGCTGCTGACTCCAGATGAAACCTTCATGCTGACCATTTAAATGGGAAAAAAGTCTGAGTTTTGTGGGGCTGTGTTCATAAGGGTGAGATGAAAAAGAAACCAGAGCGCATGAGGGACTTTGTATTTCACTGGGTCTGTAGATGCTATACAGGGGTTCTGCCATCAAGCCAGCCTCGTTTCCCTTTTAGGGTTAGATTCTCAGGCTGGCCTGGATCTCATAACCCTCTGCTTCCTGGCCTGGGATAGAAAAATGTGTCTATGCCAGAAGCCACATGGAGGAACGAGAGCCAGGTCCCACAAGCACCCTGTGCCTGGTGCCTGTGCCCCGCAGCTCTCAGGCACCCAGAGAGACTAATAAATCCAGACAGAAACTCAAGCTCAGAGTTAAGCAAATGTCAGAGGCCCTGAAAGGGAAGTTTCTCCTCTGCCAAGCCCAGGGATGACAAGATGGGGACAGACCCCCTCACCCTAGTTCCCACTGTCCCCTTGGCTACAGGCCAGTGGCTGTAGCTTCCAGTAAGATGATCAGAAGGTCTGGATGTAGCTGAGGCCTCACTGGCCTCCTGTGCTTGAGGAACTGGGCTCATTCCTGGCACCACAAATTTTCTCCCTAGAAATTTAAGACTGAATATTAAAGGACCATTGTGTCCTAGCACCCAGTTCTATCCACAGGAGAAAATGCCTTCACTTTATCCCACGTCCTTTCCTACCAAGGGGCATGAGGCTAGGCCATGCCATCTATACCCAGGTATCAAAGCTCCTGGGCCTCAGGTCCCTAAGACGACGCTTACGTCTGTGTCCTTCCCAGGGCACACACTGCTTATGTCCTCAGGTTCCACTGAGTGTCTCAGATCAGCTCACCTTTATTGAGGCAGGGTCCCATGGTGCAGTCTTAGCTGTTTTGGAACTCACTATGTAGTCCAGGCTAGCTTCCCACTCACACTGAAGCTTGGGACAACAGGAAGGTGATTAGCCTTTGCTGTGGGCCACTCCCAAGAATGGGGGATGGCAGTATCCCTGCAGGTCTTTGTGAGGCACAGGCCTGTCTTACAGCTCCAGTCTCTCATGTTTGGCTAGAGGTCAGGCCCAAAGTCAAAGCTTCAGGGGGCCAAGGGGGACCCCTGGAAGCCTGGGATACTTTACTGCTTATGTGGTTTCTTTGGCTGCAGGTTATTTTTGGTTTTGATTTGAAAGATTTCTTACTGGGACTGTGAAGGTGGCTCAGCAGAACACCCGCTGCTCTTGCAGAGGACCCAGGTTTGATTTCTAGCACCTACAGACAGCTCACAACCACTGTGACTCCAGCACCAGGGGATCTGATGCCCTCTTCTGGCTCCATGAGCACACAAATGACACAGACTCACAGACACTCACAAATATAAGCATAAAATCAATCTAGAGACATCTTGCTTCCATCGAACTTCAAAAACCCACCTGAAGCTGGAATCTGTGGGGACAGTGGCCTCACCCTGGGGTCCTTGTGCCAGGGGACAGTATGGATCCAAGACAAAATGGCAGCACAGGAGAGTGACTAGTCCCCATGGGTGTAAAGTCATCGGCCACCTTAGGACCCACTGTGCTTGGCAACTGTGTTACAGTCACTCTTGGAAGAGGCCACCTGCCTGTGCCTGCTGCTGCTACCATGAAAGGCGGTGGAATCCGAGTCCGAGCCCTGACCCCACAGAGTGCCAGCTGGGGTGGTTATTTATTTATTTGTTCTGTCCTTTCCCCTGCTTGTGAATGGAGGTGCCTTGGGTGGGGTAAACAGTCCCAGGGATGAGGATGCTCATCTGTGGCTCAGAGGGGAAACCATACCTGACTTCAGGAGAGACAGGAAGCCTCTCAGTCCCACCCAGCATGTCCTGCACTTTCCCTGGTGACATGGGTGACAGGACTCGGAGTTCAGCAGAGTGTCTCAGTGCGAGCTGTAAACAGGGTAACACCAGCTCCTGTGGGAACCCGTGTCCCAGGCAAGTAGTTGGGGCAAGTGTGCCTGAGGAGGATGGGACAACCCACGATAGGTGAGAGTCACAGCTCTGAGCGTGCCGCCTTGGCTACTATCACCAGCTTGGAGAGCTCAGACTTGAAGGCCCCAGGCCTGTGAGACACTGCAAGACAAAAGCACAGTTGGGCCCTGACATGATGCCACAAAAGATGCTGAGACAGGGACAGTGCTGGCAGGGGGCAGGTGTGGTGGATGAAGTGGAAAACTGCAGAGCCAGGTATGGTCACAGGCTTGTTACTGCAGCTACCCTGGATACTGAAAGACCCAGGCTAGTCAGGGAAACTTAAGAGAGACTGGGACATTGCAGAGGACTGAGGGCGTGGTCAAGGTGGAGCTCCACCTAGAATCCTCCAGTGAGGGGCTGGGGATGTAGTCAAGGAGCCACCCCCCCCCCCCAATTCCCCAGTGACACCTGGAATAGATTCTTTGGAGGAGTGTGGACTCATTTCCCTGGGCTCTACAAGTGTCTCCCTCAGCAGATCCTCACAGAGTCTAGCAAACTATGTTGGGACCCTTGATCCTCTCCATTTGTGCTCTGAATGGTCTTCTCTGCTTTATAGAGCAGCCTACCGGGGATGTGTTGTCACAGCAACAGGAAGTGGACCAGTATAGGTGACTATCTAGGATGCTGCAAGCTAAACTACCAGGAACAACTGCAGGGTCCATCCTGCAAGTAGCTTGTCTTTAGCCCATTGCCCATTCTCGAGACAGTTTCTGATCTGCAGCGGACAGTCATGAGGCCCTCGGCCACCTCTCTATCTGCAGTGGACAGTCATGAGGCCCTTGGCCACCTCTCTGCAAATGGCTTTTTCGAAGATGCTGGTGTCTTCCATCTGCTGGGTCCCACCTTCACCTACCTGCTGTCTTGGTCACTTCAAATTCTTCTTTTTTAAGGGGGACATCACTCTCTCTCTCAAACGCAGCTTTGGACTAAAAGAGAACAGGACACTTTAGTAGACACACACCATTAAGAGAGAAGTCCCCTCTCCTTTGGTCTCCTGAGCACTGTGGTCTAAAGCCAGGCATGCTTGCTAGGGTAGGTGTGGTGTTTCCAGTGTAGATCCCAGGCAGGGGTCAGCTCACAGGTGACAGACAGCCTCAATGTCACCTTGCCTCCCCATAACACACTTGAGGGACAGGAGTGGACCAAGGCTGCCTGGCTCCTTCCATTATTCCACAGGGTGTACCTCCCCATTTTTCTGGCCTCCTGGGGTAAAGCAGGTTTATGTAGAAGGATGGACAAGGTGCCCCCATCATGGGCCTCCTGCTGAGGTCTACAACTTGGGTGGGAGTCCTGGGGGTCAGCAGGGTGGCTGAATTCCTTGCAGTGAATGGTATCTGGGGCCCTGCAGCTCCCTCCCATCCTCGGATCCCAGAGACTGGTACTCACATAGGCCATGGCGTACTCGATCTCAGCACCCCGCACCTCAGCCTTGAACTGTGTGAAGTAGAGGTAGGACTTCCCCTGGGGCCTGTGGGGAGACAGAGTCAGCACTGGAAGAACCCCGTCGAGGGCCAGGAAAGAGCCTAGTGACGTGCGACTCCAGGAAGGTGAAGCCGGAGATGGAAAGGAACTCTGGGCGCCAAGGATGAGGGTAAGGGGGTGGTGTGACAGCCCCTGGGCATAGGGCTACCTTCTGGAGTTTGCCTTCTTTTTTGTTTCAAAACTGTTTTTTGAGACAGGGTGTCTGGTAGCCCAGGCTGGCCAAAGCTAGCCTTGAGCTCCTGGTCCCCTTGCCTCTGCCTCCTCAGAGCTGGTGAACATGAGAAACCGCAGCCAACAGAAGGCAGGACTCTTTCAATTTTAAAAATTTGCCAAAAAGCACTTTGGTGACTTCCTGCCCTGTGACCTAACTCCCCATCCCCCTGCCCTCCTCTCTACTATCTTCCCCTCCTCTCCCTCCCTGCCTGGTGCTCTGGTGTTAACACACATACTGGCAGCTTCCTTGGGGTCGCAGGGCCACTGTGCAGTGGCTGCAGGGGACAGCTCCCCCTCCCCCAGCCTGGTGCATCCTCAGTGGCTGCAGCTCACCTCCAGATGGTACAAGTGAAGTGCTGACTGTCTTCGCTCGTCCCCAGACTCATCTGCCATTGCTGGGGAGAGAGGACAGGCTTGGTGAGCGACGACAGGTGGTCAGCCTCTCTGCAAGGCCCGCCATACACAGACCTTCCCAGGCTAGAGTCATAGACACTGTCCTCCAGTAGATCAAGACACAGCCTATGTCATTTTCTTCCCGTAAGGGACAACAGCGTGAGAATGGCTCCTAGCTAGGCAACAGTGAGACCCTGTCTAAAAACCAAAGGTTAGGGACTCTGGGTCAGTGGTTAGCATGGGCCCCTGGCTCCAACCCCAGAAACAAGGCACAGTGACGCATGTCTGTCACCCCAGCACTCAGGACAATCAGGAGTTAGTCTCACATACACAAGAAGCCAGTCTGGGCTACAAAGACCCTACCCCCCCCCAAAAAAAAACCCCACAAAAACAAAAGCAATATGGGCATAGTGGTACATGCCTTTATTACCAGCATTCAGTCCCAACCACAGGCCCTCATCTGGGCCTCCCATTACTGTTCTTCATGGCTTCACAGGGGAGGTGGAGATGTAACATGCCTTGTTTACATCAATTACAAGCGTACCCTGTGACTACGTGGGTGCATTCTGCTGGAAAGCTAGGCCAGGTTGCTGGTTCTGGACAGTTCATGTTACTTCACAGACATGCTAATCCTGAACTTCCAGGCTACTCCAAGGCCTCTGCACCCAGAGAACAGTCCATCTGAGAAATGCTGCTCAGAGGGTCCATGCCTTGCTTTTCCCTAACAAGAAGGGTCTCCCATAGCCCAGGCTGTTCTTGAATTCTCTGTAAAGCTGATGATGACCTTGAACTCCTGATCCTCCTGCCTCTGGGAGCAAAATGCTACCCTGCCTGCTATTATATCCATTTAATCTCAGGCATAGCCAACCCCTAAAACTGCTGACAAAGTGGAAATTTTCCTTTCCCTGGACCATTCACATTAAAACATGAGCCACAGTGCAGTCATCACAATCATGCATCCAGACACCCATCAGTGAAAAAGGAAGCCCCATGCAGAACCTTCCCTGAATTCCTTCCCAGCCCCAGAAAAGACACTTCCTGTCTCTGGGTTCCCCTGTCCTGGACACTTGCTGCAAAGGAGTCGCACGCTGTGTGGCTTCTGTGTCAGGGTCTCTCATTGAGCAGTGTTCTTGAGGTCCCTCAGGGCCATGCTCCTTGTAACTGAAATTGTTGCTATTTCATGTTCCTTGAGCTCACTGAAAAGCTGGCTCTGTAGTGGGATGTGTTTGTCTCCAAGGTCTTGGGGGAGGGCTGGCCTCAACCTGTAAGTGGCAGCAATGGCTACAGCAGAAGAGCCGAGCATGACCACTCCCCAGAGCTGATTGCAGCCTATTGAGTAGTCAGCAACAAACACTTTCGTGAGGGCTTGCTGTCCTGGCAAGTTTTATGTCAACCTGACACAAGCTGGAGTGACTAGAGAGGAGGGAACCTCTAATGAGAAAATGCCTCCATACGATGTAGTTGCAGGCCAGCCTCAAAGGCATTTTCTCAGTTAGTGACTGATGGGGAGGGCCCAGCTCATTGTGGATGTGGCCATCCCTGGACTGGTGATTCTGGCTGAGAGCCAGAAAGCAGGCTTAGAGAGCCATGGGAAGCAAGCAGTAAGCAGCACCGTCCATGGCCTCTCCAACAGCTCCTGCCTCCAAGTTCCTGTCCTGTTTGAGTTCCTGTCCTGACTTCCTTAAGTGATGAGTAGCAATGTGGGGGTGTAAGCCAATAGAAATCCTGACACCTAGGTTCAGTTCCCAGCACCCACACGGAGGCCCACAACCATTAGTAACTCCAGCTCCAGGAAATCACAGTGGGCAACACAGCCATATGTATATACCCACACACCCAACTATATACACATGGTTAAAAAAATATGTATTTTAAAACCCTTGCCTACAGTGGGGAAGAGAAGCTGGACGCTTGTCTTGGGAGCTTGCTAGCTGGGTTTCCAGCTGACTGCCATCTTGTGTTCACAGCTGGTTTCTTACTGACTAAAGGTCTGCCGAGAAAGCTCAGTGTTTAGAACACTGGCTGCTCTTGCAGAGGACTTGGGTTCAATTTTTAGCACCCACACAGCAGTTCACAATTGTCCATGACAGGTTCTTGGATCAGACAACCACTTCTAGCCTCTGAGGGAACTGTGTGCTGATTTCTGTGGGTGCTGGGAGCACCTGGTTGAAGATGTTCTGCTTTCTGCACCCTCTCTCCAATTCTTCTTTTACCTTTGCTTGTTATGTACACAATCAAACTCACCCATCCCGTGCCACAAGCAGGGCTGCTATCACTCTGCAGACCATAAGCAACACTGTTCACAGGTACATGTCTTCCTGCCCATCAAGGTGCTGTGTTGTACATACCCATCCATCCATGGACATTGAGTTACTTCCACTTACTGGTCCCATGGAAAGCATTGCTCAGAACACTCATGTGCAAGGTTTCAAAGACGCCAGTATTTCCCCTGAATGAATGGGCCTGGGTGTAGGATAGGTGGCTCCCATGGTGGGTAGACATCTAACTGCATGACAATTGGCCTTAATTCTCCCTATGCTGTTGTACCATTTTGCATTCTACTGCAGGTAGATGGTCTTGCCAGGGGTTCAGCCCCTTTCTGGCTCACAGGCTGCTCTGAGGACTATTCTAGGCAGCTTGCTCAGGCAAGCCTCCTAAGGCACAGTCTATCTTGAGATAACAAAGGTCCCACTGCCATGGTAGTGACACTGTTATGTGAGCACTCAGGATGCTGAGGCAGGTACAACAAGGGCTACAGGATAAGATCCTGTCAAAATTGCACGAACAGACTGACAAATAAGAACCACAGGGGCTCACTGATCACACATGGATCAATAGTCAGGGATTGGTACTGTGGGTTGCTGGCTCTATGAGGCAAAAGCCAAGGCAGCTTGGGGTCCTTTCAGGCTCATGTGATTGAAATCTAGTGTCTCCAGCTGTGAAGCTGAGCTACCTGCTGTTCTTGCTGGGTAGGTGGGTAGCTCCAGTCCAGCCATGAGCACCACAGGCTTCCACCATTTCCCCCACCCCACCTTAAGCCCAAGGCACAAATGGCACCAGCCTCCACCCTCCTGCTGTGGTAGCTGGACTCACCCACAGAGATAGGGAGAGGAGTCCAGCCTAGTGAGCAGATGCAATGTGGATGCCCTGACCGTTCCTTCATGCAGCACACGAAAGGGATATACCGAGCACTCCTATCAACAGCCACATCCTGAGTGAGGGGCACCATGAATGGCAGATTGACAAACCACTCCCTTCCCTGTCAAGATGCTTGTAGAGTGGAGTAAAGAGAATCTCAACAGGCATGGGGGCTCAAGGGTATCATCCAAGCACCGGAGAGATGAAGGCAAGGGGATTGACCAAAGTCTGAGGTCATCCCAGAAAACACAGCAAGGCTGGGTCATTCTGGTCTATGATAGAGAGGTGGCTCTGAGGCTAAGAGCACTGGCTGCTCTTCCAACACACACATAGCAGTGTACAACTGTCTGGACCTCAAGGCCCAGACACTGTTTTCATGGCACCAAGCACATATGTGGTACTTAAGATACCATGCAAGCAAAATATCCATACACATTAAAAATATAGTAAGAAGCCAGGTGGTGGTGATTGCATGCCTTTAATCCCAGCACGCAGGAGGCAGAGGCAGGCGGATCTCTGTGAGTTCGAGTCCAGTCTGGCCTAACAGAGAGAGTGCCAGGACAGGTTCGAAAGCTACAGAGAAACCCTTGTCTTGAAAACAACAATAATTAATAATAATAATAATAAGAAGAAGTAAATAAGAAGTAAATCTCTTCCAAAAATCAAAAAGAAAGAAAACAATCTGAAGAAGAGAAGTAAATCTCTTCCAAAAAGGAGAAGAAAAAGAAGAAGATCTCTTCCAAAAACCAAAAAGAAAGAAAACACTCTGAGTCTGCACCTTCTTTGTGTTGAACACATCCACAAGTGAGAAAGGCAACTAAGAGCCTGGCTACTTCCCCCTGAGTGACTTACCTCATTGGTCCCTCCTTGGGAAGCATATGTAAATGTGCATGCAAACTTGCCCTGGGAAAGACAAAACAGAAGAAGGCTGAAGAACCAATGTTACAATGTCCAGAATCAAGACCCCAGCATCCTGGGTGTGGCGCTGTACACCTGTCCTCTCAAATACCAGAACCAGGCTGCCGTGCACTGGTCTAAGCCTCCATGCCTTACAAGCGCTAAGTTTCTGTTTCCTAAGTTGAATGTATCCTGGAAACCATGCTTTTCAACCTATGCTAAACTTGTGACCCCATGATGTATACCCACCCCTTTGCCTTTGCCAAATTCCTGAACACTTGGGACAACTCCCATTACACATGATGTGTTTTTGCACTGGTATACCTTGATCCCCGAGTCTCCCCAATTGCCTTAATAGTTGTTTTCTATCAACACTAAGCCTTTCCCATAAAAAGGACCTCAAAAGCCTGTGTGGGGCTGCTCCCTGAAATACCTACTTAAGGGAGGCAGTCTTCTGGCCAGTCAGTCCCTTGTGCAGTTTTAAATACAGCTTGCTTTAATCAGACAGTTGTGGAAATGTTTTTATCTCAGGTTTAACAGCAACTAAGGAAGCAGAGGCAGGAGAACTGCAAGATCAAGACTAGCCTTGGTGACTTTACCAAGACGCTGTCCTGAATGTAACAGTACAGAGATTGACATTAACAATAGAGCTTCCGCCTAGGAATCCCCAGTGAGGGCTTGGGGGGTGTGGTCAGAGGTGGAGCCCCTGCCTAGAATCTCCCAGTGAGTGGCTGGAGCTCGAGTAGAACACGGGCCTGTGTGAGACTCTAGGTTCCATCCCAGTATCATATAAAAGGAAAAGAAAGGCTCTACGACGCCCTCTGACTCCTTTCCTCCCAGGAGCACAGAACTTTGCAATCTCCGGGAAGGTCACATGACCTTCAGCAGCCACCCCTTCAGGATACTGACTTTGGGTTTAGTACCTAGGAGTCCCTGACGTGCACAAACTTTTGCTGCCAAGAAGCCCTGGGCTATAAGAATGTTTTCAGGAAATGGTTACCAGGGACACAGCTGTCACAGTTAAGTTGGGGAGGCCATGAGAGGAGAGTGGCTGGATTCATGTAAGGTCTGAGGTGCTTCCTCTCTGGTTCGAACTCATGAGCAACCCTCGCGGGACCTGCATAGCGCAGTCTCCTGAGACCCACTGCTCTCATCAGCCAGTATTCCCTTTTCTAGAATGCGATGGACAAGGGGAGAGTCTCTTGCAGGTAGGAAGCGATTGACAGGTGGCAGATGAGGGAGCTACAACTCCTCTGACCTGATGGTCTTCAGGTAGCCCCGCCCTTGCCATTCTGACGGGTCTCCAGGCCGACCCGACCCCGAGTCTGGCTCCGCCCATTACCGGCAGTCCTTAGTCGTCGATGCTCCTGAAGCTCACCACTTACCCCGGGCCCAACGTCCTGGGAGAAGGAATGTACGACGCCTCCTGGTCTCACGTCAAACGGCACGGTGGTGGGCTCGGACACAGCGGCCGCCAACGTCAGCGCCGCTGCCACCAAGAGCAGCGCGGTCCAGTAGGCTCCGCTGGGCGCCGCCATCTTGGTTCCGGACCAATGCGCAGGCGCTCGCGGACGGGGCGCAGCGAGGGACACGTGGAGCAGCCTGCGCGGAACACGTAAGCGCGAAACAGTTACGTGCAGGCCGCAGCTCTGGCGGCCACGTCGTGGCGGGGCACGACTTGGCACGTGACGTGTTACAGCGCCTCTGATTGGCGCTCCCGGATGAATGGGGAGAATTCGTGCTGCGGGGGTCAGAGTTGCCTTTTTGCGGGTCAAGTCCTGATTTTCCAAAATCAAAACGCCTGACATCATTGTAGTTAGGGTGAAAAATGTGTTCCGGTATTTTTACATTTATATCTCACTTAAATAGACTCCGGGCCTCCATCCTTTGGGCAGCATGGGGGTTGACTTTTATTTTGTTAAATTATCTTTAATATAGCTTAAATGCTGATTCTTTTGACTTGTAATTTACTGTAATTTATATTTTAAATTTCATTAAAAATATTTTATTGTGGGGTCCGGAGAGATGGCTCAGCAATTAAGAGCACTGGCTGCTCTTGCACAGAGAGCACCAGGTTCGAGTCCCAGCACCCACATGACAGCTCACCTCTCTTAACTCCTGTTCCAGAGGATCTGATGCCCCCTTTTGGCCTCTGCAGGGGTACCAAGCCTGCATGTGGTGCACAGATGGACATACATGCTGGCAAAACACCATACACACATTGTGATAATATGTAATAAATATCAGATGATTCATTTTATCCCAGGCTGGCCTCCAACTGTAACTCCTAATTCTCCTGCATCCACCTCCCCAGTGCTGGGATGACAGGTTTCACTGGTGGTGGGGATGGAACCAGGGGATACTAGGTAATCCCCCTAGCCTCTGAGACAAAGACCAGTTCTATGGTCTATGAGTGAACTGCAGGTCCTATGGCCTGAAGTGGCTGTTCACTTACAGGACCCTGCAGGTCTTAACAGGACAGACACATTTGCCTGTTCCTATTCCCTTCTGGACAGAGAGACCCAGACTTGACAGTGTCCAGTGCTGAAGGAAAAGGATGCCCCAATGCAGGGGACAGTGAACTCTCACCTTATGTGTCACAGATGTTCCTTAGCTGTTCTGGGGCCAGAACATGGGACCTTAAGCATGCCTGGCCAGCCCTGTGCTGACCAATGTTCCCAGCTTTTGTTGTTTTGTTTTTCGAGACAGTGTTTCTCTGTATTACTTTGGAGCCTGTCCTGGAACTAGCTCTTGTAGATAGACCAGGCCGGCCTTGAACTCAGTGAGGTCTGCCTGCCTCTGCCTTCCAAGTGCTGGGATGAAAGGCGTGCGCCACCAACGCCTGGCTATTCCCAGCTTCCCAATGGCAAGATGGATGAGTGAGTGTAGGGGAAGGGCCTCCTGCCAAGACTGCTGACTGGTGTTCCAGCCCTGGGAACGAGATGGTGATAGACCAACTCCTGCAAGTTGTCCGGAATACATGTGAGCTGGGACAAGCAGCCATACACAACAGAAAATAAATAAGTGGCTTAACGAAAGAACCTCCAGTGCCAAGTGATCCTCTAGTCACAAGGACTGGTCTTCTCCTCAGACTGCACTGATGGCTGCTGGCGCTCACCGCAGCCTGCACCACCCACCACCATGGTCACCCATCTGCTCTCTCGGTGCCTTCCCATCCCGTCCTTTTTGTTCACTACTAGTTGTCCCTTTAAATTTATTTATTCAGTGTGTGAAGGTCAGAGGGCAGCTCAAAGGGTCAGTTCTCTCACCCACCATGCGAATTTTGGAGATCAAACTCAGGCTTGGCAGCAAATGCCTTAATCTGCTGAGCCATCTCACCAGCCGCTTTCAAATCAAAGGGAATGGGGTGGGGACTGTCTCACTAGGCATACAGGCCATGTGTGTGCTTCCAGGGTGGGGACAGAGCCAGCAGAGACTACCAGCTGACCTACATGAGATTGTCACCTCACCACTGCTGTCTCCATTATAGGTCTTAGAGGGAAGCATTTCATCTTTAATAACTTTCCTTTGTTACATTTATATTATCATTGGTTTTTCAAGACAGGGTATCTCTGTATGGTGCTGACTGTCCTGGAACTCTGTAGACCAGACTATCCTGGAACTCACTGCATAGACCAGGCTGGCCTTAAACTCACGAAGATTTGCTAGGATAGCCACCATGTGCCTTTAATTATTGCAATACTTTGAAGCCTGGACAGATGGCTCAGCAGTTAAGAGCAGGCATTGCTCTCCCAGGACTCAAATGTAATGCCACACACCCTCATAGTGGGCTCATATCCAGCTCAATGCAAACCCAACTCCTCTGGCTTCTGTAGACATCCACACTCATGTGTGAATATCCACTGACACAAACACATCCATAAACAATTAAAAATAATACACCTTTAAAGAATAATTTCAACAATTAAAATGTTTTTCAGACAGGGTTTCAAACATCCAAGGATGACCTTCAACTCCTGACCCTGTGGCCTCCACCTCCTGAGGGCTGGGATGGAGGCTATACAGGGTATCCTATGCACCTCAGTGACCCCGTAACCTCCTCCCAGCCCAGCAACCTCCCCCGCAGGTCCTATAGGGCACCCTGCAGCCCCTCAGTCCCTCAGGCCTCACACAGCACCATTTCCATCTGGAATCGTTTAATGAGTCTACATACCACATAATTATAAAAGAATAAGAATTGACAAAAATATTTTCTTTCCATAATATGTAGAGGTGGTTCTGGGTTGTTTGGTTTTTTTTTTTTTTTTTTGTTGTTGTTGTTGTTGTTATCGTTGTTTTTACTTCTTTATGCCCGAACTCTGGTGGGAGGGGGTGGGAAAGGGCTACAACCCTGAGGTCAGGACAGGTCCTACTCCCGACCCTGGCAGCCCCAGGCGGTGAGTGAGGAGGAGTTGGGCAAGGACAGGTAGCGCACAGGGCGCCATGAATACAGGCTTGGCAGCTCCATAGTCTGGGCGTCAGGAGGGCGTGGAATCCCCAGCTGCCCAGTGCCGTACCACCAATTTCATATTTCGGTACCGCTTCCTGTCTTTTAAATAATTATTAAAAATGTTCCCCAAACACACACGACTCTGCAGGGGCAGGCAGCGGGCGGCACATGCTTCTGTGTTGGGATGGTGCTGCAAGTTTGGGACTGTGGCAGCCCCTGTGAGAGCTGTGGGCCTGGTGGTGGCCTCCTCCTAACCAGCCCAAGGAAGGCAGCATGGGGGCCTCCACTGCCTCTGTCCTGGACCCCAAGCAGCAGCAAGCAAACAAATTGAAAGCTTCAAAAACTAAAAGGTTACAAAAACGCAAGAAAAGCAGCAACAGCATCAGGGCAGAGGTCGGAGGTCACAGATGCTCCTGCAGGAAGTGCAGCAAGGTCACCTCGTAGTGCTCCCCAGACTCGGGGCAGCGAATGCTGTGTCTCTCATTAGGGTAGATCTGTGGAAGAAGCAGGGCTGCAGGCAGACCCACCTGGGACCCTATTCTGCACAGGGGCTGGAGCACACAGCTCACCACACTGGGCAGAGGCACCGGTGACAGGGGTTACTGTGTCACCAGGTCCAGGGTGGGGGTCTCTTCCCCACACCCACAGCTGCCACCCACATGTGATGCTGGGAACCCATGAAAGCCCACTAGCCCTCCTCTCCTCTCCCCTGACCTTCTATAATCATACCACACCCCCCACAAGTCTGAACACACTGCCCCCCCTTCAGAGAGGGAGCGATGCTCCACCTCCTGTACTGTGTGGCCTGAGTCTCCTCCACAGTCCAACAGGATATCCTCCAGGAAGAGCCCCCCCTCAGGTCTGCCCCCCACTTCACAACTGCAGTGGGCCCCACCCATCATTCTCACTGGCTGATCCAAGGTATGGGGTTCCCTCTGCCTCCAACCTCACTTGCTTCTGTACCTTTAAATGTCCCCTCCCTCAGGGAATTCCTGTGGGTCTCTATTCATTTAGGGATACCCCATGCCTTCAGCCAGGTGGATTCATCAAAGCAGGGGTCTCTGGTATAATCACTGAGGACCTGGGATGTGGCGGTTGTTGACACAGGATGGTCAATAAAGATATGACCGAACACAGGACCCGGAGGAGCTCAGACCACCAATGTGGTGGGAGTGGAGGATGAAGATGGGGACTTTGCCCCCAGAATCACTCACCTGGAGCTGATAAGGCTTCCCTGCCCGGATCAGCTGGGACACGAGGAAGTTTGTGTGAAAAAAGTGGACGTTCTCATCCAGGAAGCCATGGAGGATGAGCAGGCGGTTAGGCCTGGAGGAGACAGGGGAGGGAGTGAGGGCAGAGGTGGCTCCCATGGGCTAAGTCTCTTCCCAGCCGGCAGGACAGAGTGGAGGGCATGGGTGTCTGAAGTAGCCCCGCCCAGGCATCCGGGCAGGATGGAATGTTTTGGATGCATATTCCCACCATGACCACCACCGGCCATTGCATTATGCACTGGCCACGAGCCACCTGTAGCCCAGCAGAATATCAAAAGTGGTCAGAGTGACCAAGAAGGTGAGTTTTCTCTTTTCTATCAGATTTATTGATTTCAGAGATAGGCTGTGTAGCACAGGCTGGCCCTGAACCACCCATGTACCTAAGGATGACACTGAATTCTTGATCCTCCTGCTTCTACCTACTGAGTGTTGGGATGACAGGAATGTGCTGCCATGCCTAGGTTCTATAGTGCTGGGCTGGGGCCCAGGGCCTCCGACATGCTGGCACACGCTCTGCCACAGGGCCCAGGGCCTCCTACATACTGGCACACACTCTACCATGGGTCCCAGGCCCTGATATTTTATTTTAAATGTATGCACTAATTTGTAGAACTAATAGTTCCTGTGAATGACAGAGCAGCATTTGGTGTCTGTGGCTTTATAATGTTGTATACCCATTAGATCTCTAGTTCTGGAACATTCCTTCCTGCAGAAAAAGCCATCCCAGCACCAGCAGAGGTGATGTTGGGGCCCTGACAACCCCTGCTCTACCTCCACAGCTTAGTGCACTGAGCTTTACAGGGAGTGCAGGCAATGGTGGGGATTCCCAGAGAAGGAGATGCCCATGCCACACTGCACTGTGACCATCAGCTGTCCCTGTCTAACACTGTCACCTGGCACGTGACTGTGTGTGGACAGTGTCCATGCCCATGCAACGTGAGGATTAAGCGTCCAGAAGGGCTGTCCACCAGCTCACATGGCTACTTGAATTGTGTGGACAAGCACTTCAGGAAGGCAGGGTGCCACAGCTTGTGTGGCCCTAATCCCCACCATCCTGCACCCCCAGGCCAGGGTCTGACACCCTCAAGAGGCACTGAATGCCTGAGCTTAGCAGGACAGCTGGCAGGAGGTAACAGGAGACATGCAGGGAGGATGGTGAGTGGGTTGCTTACTCATTGGGCAGCTTCTCCACATGTAGGGCCACAGACCCTGCCTCATAGCCTTGCTGGTTGTTTTCAGGGACATCCATGTACCGTTCTGTGTACCCTGTGTCATAAGCCATCCATACAGTGACGGGAGCACCAGCAATGGCTACCTGGAAGACACAGGGGATGGATCGGGCAGGGAGAGAGGAGAAAGGTGTTGGATCTGGGGCCTGGCTTTGGCTGGGATTTCAGGCCGCAGAAGAGGGCCAGGCAGCCCATGCACGAGGGTGGTGGCTGGCAGGGGGCCCTCAGATGTGTGCCCGTGGGCCTTGAGCTGCCCCAGGACACGCAGGGTGTAGAGGGAGGGCCCGTCCCACCTTCCTGCCTCCTCCGCCTCCTCATGGCCGCCGCCCCGCAGTGCCCTGCCAGTCCCGGGGCCTGCGCCCCCCTGCTGCTCCTCACAGCATGCCCCACCTCTGCCCCTCCGAGGCGGGGGTCCCGGGCTTGGCCTCCCACATAGAGCTGCTGGCGGATGCCATCCTGGGGTCGGTGGTGGCGGGCAATGAGGAGGGGGACTCGGCCTCGTGGGGTGGCTGCGGGGAAAGATAGCCAGGTGGCAAGGCCCCTGCCAAGGTGCTTGCTCCAGGTTGGGGCTCCAGGGTGGGGACAAGGGGTCAAGGTCAGGTGGGAATCAGGCTGCAAGCAGCTAGACAGGAGTGAGACCCACCTTGAACACTTGTGGCTTGTGGATGAGCCCCATGAGGGAGAGGAAGCCACCATAGGACCAGCCATGGATGGCAACACGGCTGAGGTCAATGAAGCCATACTTCTCAGCCACATACTGCAAGCCTTCCACCTGGTCCTCGATCTCTACCTGGCCCTGTGGATGTGGAGACCCAGTGCTCTGTGACTTCCCCTGGGTGGTGACCAGGATCCCACATCCCATCACCTTGTTGCTAGGGAGAAGCCTCTCTTCTTAGGCTCAAAGTAGTACTCTGGAAGTGTCTGCCCAGGCTGGCCCTGCTGAAGCTGCTCTTTTATGTTGGCAGGGATGGCACCACTACCACCATCACCCCAATCATCACTACCATCCCCATCACCTCCATCATCACCACCATCCCCATCATCATCACCTCCATCATCACCACCATCCCCATCATCATCACCTCCATCCCCATCATCATCACCTCCATCATCACTACCATCCCCATCATCATCACCTCCATCATCACCACCATCCCCATCATCATCACCTCCATCCCCATCATCATCACCTCCATCATCACTACCATCCCCATCATCATCCCCATCATCATCACCTCCATCATCACCACCATCCCCATCATCATCACCTCCATCATCACCACCATCCCCATCATCATCACCTCCATCCCCATCATCATCACCTCCATCATCACCACCATCCCATCATCATCACCACCATCCCATCATCATCACCTCCATCCCCATCATCATCACCTCCATCCCCATCATCATCACCTCCATCATCACCTCCATCCCCATCATCATCACCTCCATCATCACTACCATCCCCATCATCATCACCTCCATCATCACCTCCATCCCCATCATCATCACCTCCATCATCACCACCATCCCCATCATCATCACCTCCATCATCACCTCCATCATCACTACCATCCCCATCATTATCACCTCCATCATCCCCATCATCACTACCATCACCACCATCACCACTATTACCACCACTGTTACCATCACCATTGTCACAGTCACCACCCTCAACACCAGTGTATACACCACCTTAACAGTTCCCTTCTGCCATGCCCATCAGACCCACCCTTGAGTTCCTGTGGACTGAGGCAGCTAAACAGTGTCAGGCTATGTCTGGGCCACTATCCTCTCCCCAGCTGTATGCTCAGGCCTGGGAGGAGTGAAGGGGACCGTGTTTCTGGGACCCACTTGTTCCCAAGGGACACAGTGCAGGATCAGGACTCACCATCTGGTTTTTCAGGGCGCCCTCAAATCGCAGGCCACGCTGACAGGAGCCCCGACCATCAATCACTACCACAGCGTAGCCCAGGGATGCCAGAGTGTTCAGCCGCAGGTACTTGATGCCCTTGAAAGAGTTGTTCACCAGCTGCACCTGCAGGTGAGGTGGGTGGTAAGAGCTGCGGGAGTAGCAGGGGGCAGGGCCTGGGCCAGGGTGCACCCACCTGTGGGCCCCCATAGACAAAGAGCACAGTGGGGTGCTTCCTTCCAGGCTGCAGGGTGTGTGGCTTGTAGATCATGCCGTATAGCTGCACATCGGCACGGGTGTGGAAGTGGAAGATCTCAGGGGGTACATAGTCCGGGGGGCAGTCTGTGATGACAAAGGTGCTGAGCAGAATGGCCAACAGGGACATGCCTACCACCGCCAGCCCAGGCCTTTGACCTCGCCCGCCCCCTCTGCTTCTGCCTAGAAGATGATCTTGGGAGAGCTACATGGGGGGCACCATGGAGGACATGCAATCCCCCTGGCATGGCTTGCCCACCCCCTCAGCGTTCCTCCACCTGCCTAGTCACTGTGGGAAGAGTATGATGGAAGCCTAAGCTGACCTCAGAATGATGCTCTCACCCCTGACCATGGCTGCCCTTGGGTTTCCTCTCTGTTTCCCAAGGACTGGTACACTGATACACTGGTCACCTGCTGCGGTGGGACCAAGGCTTTGCTTTCCTGAGACACCATCCCTTTACGTAGCCCAGGCTGGGTTGGACCCAGATTTATAGTCCTCTTGCCTCTGCCTCCTGAGGGCTGGGATGACAGTGTACACTACCATACTTGGTTTCTGGGGATGGAACTGTGGTTTCATGATTGCTAGCACTCTGCCATTGAGCCCCAGCTACTACTGGAGGGCTTTCCAAGGCATGCCTCGGGAATGTGGCTTGACAAGCGCTCTAAGTCTCCTGTGCTGAAACTGGAACTCAAAGGTAGTCAGGGAGAGGGTGCATCAGATCTCAAGGTCCAAGGCAGTTTCTCAGAACTATGTTTTCCTGAGGCCTCTCTGGTGACCTACCCTGAGCTCTCTGCCAAAACTACAGCTTCCAAACATCTGGTTTCTGAGGTATTGTCACAGAGGTTGCCCCAGGATGGCTACCAGACACCTGTACCTGCATCTATAGTCACATCAGAATCAGGGGAGACAGGGCAGAGACACAGGGAACCTTGCTTACTGTGAAAGCAAACTATTCTGTCTCTGCACCTGCACTGAGAGCCAAGGCTGTTTAAGTCTGCCCTTGCCCTGGCTGATGGGGCCAGCTCCCTGAGGTTGCACTACTCACTGGCTGCTTCCATCATGCTGGCCCAGAAGCGTGGCTGCTTGTGCAGTGGGTCATCATCAGGGCCACTCAGCTTGTACACATGCACGCATGGTGGCGTGCTCACGCTGCTGTAGTGACTCACAAACATGTCGAAGTTCTGTTGGTGGCAGGGTGGCACTCAGTGCACAGGAGCAGCCTTCTGCCTTCCCCGGAGACACTGTATAACCTCACCCACCCACGGGTCATCACGACCACCCTCTGCAGACAAGGAAACAGCCCAGTGAGGGCCAGTCCCATGCCGGGGACCCAGGCCTCATCCTTGATGGACAGAGATTCGACCCGATTTCTAGAATGTCCACAGACACGAAGGGCCGTGGACTGGCCCTGGGAGGCTGGGGTGGGCAGGGGCGTGGCGTGCCCACCTGGCTCATGGAGCAGCTGTGGGAGAAGCCAGGCGTGGTGAGCCGCACGATCTCACCCGCCGACTCATAGCTGACTACGTAGAGGTGGTGCTCCAGGGGTGTGTCCTTTGTACCTTGGAAGTACACCAACTTCGTCTGCTCGTTGACCCAGATCTGCAGGCAATGGGGGCTTCTGTGACCAACTGTGCCTGGCTACACTACCTGTCCTAGCCCCCAGCCACAGGAACTGCAATGGGAGGACCCCCTTGGTGCCCCAGCCAGCAGCAACCCTGCAGCACGACACACTGAAGGCAGAGCATGAGGGACAGGCCTTTGTGGGGTCAAAAGCTCCCCAGCATGCACAAGGTCCCGGCTCCATCCACACAACATTAGCTGGGCATGGTGGAACACGCCTGTCACCCAAGTCTTGGGAGCATCAGGCGTTCAAGGTCACCCTCAGCTACATAAGGAGTTCAAGGCCTGCTTGGGCTACATGAGACTTTTTTTCTAAAAATAAAAAGAGATGTTTGTTTGTTTGATTTTGAGGCTGTTGCTTACTGTGTAGTCCAGGCTAGTCTAAAAATATGAAGGTTTTCATCTCTTTGGCTCCTGAGTGCTAGGATGATAGGCCCACAAACAATACTCTACTCAGATTCTGACAATGTTTTGGCCTCATGTTTTTCTTAATTTCAGAGTAAAAGGTTCAAAGCTACATGGAAAAGTCCTGTCTGTGGCAAAACAGGTGGGCACATGGTCACAACAGGATGGGCACTCAGAGTGTTTCCAAGTATGTGTGCCTGGCATCAAGCTCAGTGGGGACTTGCCTAACACTCATGAGGGCTCTGGAGCAATACCCAGCACTGAAAAGTTAAAATAAACAAACAAATAAATATAAATAAAAATAAAAATCAGAAACCCACATAGCAAATTACAAAGAGATCAATCTGGTTCTTTGCTTGGGGGGGACCCTGGGCAACTTGTCTGGACATGTGCAGCCACCATAACTAGGGATGGAGGCTGGCTGGCCCTCAGTACACAATCACAGACCTGCTGTCCAGGGGAGAAAGAGGGGCCTTCAGGGCTCCAGGTCAGTACTGGATGGGCCAGTCCTCCATGGAGGCGGACCTCCATGCTGAGAATACTGGTGTCCTAGGGACCCTGGGAGGGCAGAGTCAGCCACAGGGGCAGGGGAGAACAGTACCTAGGAGCCCCCACTGGGGCAGAGCCTGCCGCAGGAGGGTGGGGCAGCACAGTACCTTGGAGCCATGCCTTGACAAGACCTCCCACTCGCCACTGGTCAGCGCAACCTCCTCCTTGATTGGGCACTTAAACTCATCTGTGGAAAGGAGAGCAGAAGGGTGAGGGGGGCAGGAAGGAGACAGGACCCCGAAATTCTGCAACCAGGGGAAGCACAGTCACACCCGTGCCCAGCCTGGACTAAGGAGCCTTACTAACTTATGGCAGGTGTTAAGTGGCCATGGACCTCCTAGGTCATGCTGGGCCACCAGAACCAGGATTCCATTAGGTAACCAGGAATGGTGGCACACACCTTTAATCCCAGCACTCCAGAGGCAGGAGATCTCTTTGAGTTCTGGGTCAGCCTGGGCTACATAGTGAGACCCACCCCCTCTCAAGAGCAAAACCACCATCAACAGACAGAACCAAGTTCTGTTACCCCGAGACCTGCTGAGTACCAGGCCTGGGGCTGCTTCTGAGGCCCACCAGGCAGAGACAAGGCTTTTGCTACAGTACATCATATATGGATTGGGACAGCTTCAGGGGAATGACTAGCTGTATCTTCCTAGTCTAAGGTCACCAGGAGATCTAACATTGCCCAGGCTAGCCCTCACAATCCCAGCCCATACATAGGGCCACCATCCCTGTCTGAGCCTCAGTTTTGAGGCTGTGCATCTGCATCTCAGCACCAGAGGGCCCCAGTGACCCACTTATCTGCTGTCATCACAGACATGTCACCTAGATACATCCCACCTCCTGGTGTGTCCTTCCAAAGCCACCCACTGCCCTGTCAAGCCAGCCTCCTTATCCTCCATAGCCCTTTTTCATGTTTTAACTTTTACTTCAGGTGGACCTTGGATCTTTTACTTCCTGTGTACCGTGTGTGTGTGTGTGTGTGTGTGTGTGTGTGTGTGTGTGTGTGTGCGGTGCCTGCGGAGGCAAGCAGAGGACACAGGACCAGGAGAACTAGAGAGACAGTTCTGAGCCATTTAGATGCTGGAAGCCGAATCCAGGTCCTATGCAAGAGCAGTTGGTGCTCTATCCACTGAGAGACCTCTCCATCCCCCACCTCCCACCCCATTTAGATAGGGTCTCATATAGCCCAGGCTCGCCTCAAGCTCATTAAGTAGCCAAGGATGACCTTGAAGTCCTGACTCAAGCCTCCACCTGACTTTCCACCACATGTGGTGCTGGGGACAGAGCCCATGGCTTCCTGTATATCAGGTAGATACTGTATCAACTCAGCCCCAGGCCAAGGTAGCCCTCCTGAATGTCCCTCCTGCTTCCTTAGGTCTTGCCTGCTCACTCAGCTGCCATCCCATCACGCCAGGAGGTGCATGCTGGGGCCTGAGTAAGCCTGTGGGGCTGGGCACTCTGGCACGGTGCTTAGGCTGAACGACCATGAGCCTGAGGGAAGTTTCTAGGCAAAGCATCCCTGAGTGCAGGGGTGGTGCCCCAGCAGGGTACAGATCAGAGTTGATGACAATCCTGTGACACTGAGGTCAATGCCAGAGGGACACAGACAGAAGCCACAGTCAACAGCAACCTGAGCTTTGAGTCACTCAGTACCACAGCAGCTGAGACATAAGGCCTGGACTCCCTGTGGCTCCTGGCCCTCAGAGATGCTGTCTCATCACCTCTGTCACTTGAGCCCATGGCTGCACAGCCTGCTGTGGGTGCCACCTCGGAACTCTGGTGCTCACTGAAGATGAGTCGTCTTCAGGGAGGCTTCAGTGATGTCTGGGGACACGTGTAGCTGTCATACTGGGGGAGCTACTGCCGTGGAACAGGTAGAATTGGGGATGCTGTTCCCCAAATGCAGCCTGTGCTGGCTGGACCTGGGCCCTGCCTGAGCTGAGGCTACGGCCTGTGCAAACGCCCTGAGGTAGAAGACACAGATCCGTCCCACAGGCTATAACCTCAGTTCTGATGGCCCAAGGCACCCTCTCAACAATGCCCAGAAATGCCCCCAGCCCCTGATGTTCACCTGCCATCACTGCAGGAGCCTTGAGTTTCTTCTAGAAGCACAGTCTATTCAAACTCAGTACCTCAAGTCACTAGCTCTAAAACATTGCAAGATCCTCTCTCCTCTCCTGATGGGCCCTTGAGTATCTCTGGCCCAAATGGACCCCAAGTCATGCTTGGCATTGTGTGCCCATCCCACTGGGAGACAGCATCACCAAGGACAGCATCTCTGGTAAAGACCACTGGGATAGGTCTGGCTTCAACTGTGGCCTGATTCTATTCACTCTTCACCTCTTGTCCTCAGCCCCAAAGAAACCCATTCACTCCACACTGATGTTAGAACCAACCATTTCCTACTTCCTTCTCTATGTCCTCCAAGGCCAGAGACAGCATTCATCATCACTCTAGCATTACCGCCTGCCCCACTACAGTCTTTCAGGAGAACACACTTTGCTTGACTGCTCAGACAGACCTTGTCCCTCCAGCCTCAGCTGTGGGAGTCTGGGGGTCACTGGAGTGCACCAACACACACCATGTCCCTTCTCAGACAGTGGCATCGTTGGCCCCTGGAGCCACTCTAGTCAAGGAACAGAGAGGATATGAAGCTCTGAGACAAGTGACTGAGACTGGGACACAAACATGGGCAACAGGCAAACTAGAAACAGGCAGGTATGGCCATACACCAGGAAAATGAGAAAATAAAACAAAATGCAGGTGGCACATAGCAGTGACAGTGATGCATGGGCCAAATTCTAATGCCCTGATGGCACTGAGGACCCCATTGCACAGGTGCTTAGGAAAGCCCACCTAGTCAATCAACAAACTCTTACTTGATGGCTGCCAATGGCACAAGGACAGGGTAGGGCAAGATATGGCCACACTTTCCTCCCACCCCTGCCTCCTGTGTGACGGATGCTCTGCTCACCTTCTGTGGGGCTGAGGGGTTCTGTCCAGTCATAGTCACTGGTTTTAAGATCCACAGTGACCCTGTACAGGTGGCAGAAACCAGTCTTACACTCATTGGCACGGAGGAAGGAAAAGTCCTGCTGGCCCTCGGCCTGCGGGAATGGGTGAAAGATGTCATGGACCTGCAGGGAGAGATGACTGAGTCAGAGGATTCGGCGGCTGGCCACACCCGAGTCCAGCCCAGTGTTCTTCTGGGGACCATGCATGGTACGGGAACAGCGGGCACCCTGGGCTCCTGCTTACATTGATCCAGACATTGGTAACTTCTTCGTAAATGACAAAGGGCTGCACATTCTTGGGGATGGCTCTGGCAGCAGCCTGCCGCTGGGCCTCATTCTCAGGGGATGGGATGAAGAGGGCTGGCGGCAGGAGGACAAGCTGGAGACGTTGCTGGGGACGGTCCAGGAACATGGCCCAGGCGCTGGAAGGATCAAAGAGGAGGCAGCAGGAGGGCTCAGTGGCTAGCAGGGGAGAGCAAGAGACAGGGCCACACAGGGCCATTCCCTGGCTAGCCTTCCTGGAGTCAGCCACAGCTACTCAGGGTGTAGAGGAGGTCTAACTGGTACAGATGAGACTCCAGTCACACAATCCATGTGACTAAGGCCTGGGACAGAATTCTCAAATTGGATAGCTGGATTTTTTTTGTTTGTTTTTTTGTTTGTTTTTGTTTGTTTTAAACCTAGGGTCTTGTATAGCTGAGGATGGCCCTGAACTCTTGATCCTCCTGCCTCCACTATCAGGGAGTTGGAATAGTATAGGTGTGTCCCATCATGACCAACATTAATGAAACAGGCAATATTCTATTCTGGTGCTGGGCACAAACCTGGGGCCTTGTGTATGATAGATTGTTCCGCAGTCTCCGATCTTTTAAACTTTTTAAATTTTGAATAGTTTTGCCAGCTGTCATCCCAGCAGGACCCCAAGGGACTTGGAGGAATTCCTGAGTCCTGTCAGAAGTCTGGTGTTGTTTCTACTGTGGGCTACCTGGGGTTGTCCTACTCTTGGGACTTTGGTCAGACTGACCTGATGGCCAAGTCCCCAGCATTATAGATTTGCTGACTGAGGCTGGGAGAGACCATAAGGGAAAAGGCATGGGTGCAGGGCACCAAGATCCACCCTGGCAAGCCCCTGGGCACCGCCCATCCCCAGGATACTCACTATCTGCCATCCCGTGTCCAGCCAGCCCGGGCGATGTATTCCACCTTGGGGAAGAGGGAGCTAAATGGCTGCACCAGTTCCTTCTCACAGCTTGACACGATCTGGGGAAACAGGGCCATGTCACTCACAATGCCACAGCCTTCCTGATCTCCAGTGTCCTGATGGTTTGACACTCAGCACCTACATGGTGTCTAATGGGCTAGAATTCCAATTTCAGGAGCTCTGATGCCCTCTTCTGGCCTTCATGAGCACTGCATGCACACAGTGCACAGACACACAGGCAAATACTCATACTCTAAAAACAAAAATAGCTGGGGGCATAGTGGCACACGCCTTTAATCCTAGCACTTTTGGAAGGCAAAGGCAGGTGGATCTCTGTGAGTTTGAGACCAGGCTGGTCTACAGAGCCAGTTCCAGAACAACTAGAACTACAAAAAGAGACTTCATCTCAAAATAAATAAATAAATAAATCTTAAGAAAGGAAGGCAGGCAGACATATACAGGCAGCCACCTGAGGTATATAGATGGGGTGGACGTCACACTGAGTGGGACCCTAATCCAACATGTTATATCTTAAAGGGAGAGTCACAGGAAATAAGACAGACACATACACACACACACAAACACAAACACACACACACACACACACACACACACACTTAGCATGATGTCCACTAGATACTTGGGACATGTGGTCACCTGAGCTGCTGGGACAGACCCTGTCCAACTGTCAGAGGGAACGCCCACCCTGGGATCCTTAGCCTGTATGGCTGCTAACAAAGCACCTCTGCTGTCAAAGCCATAACCTATGGCTCTCTCCAATGGTGACATCTCCTTCCACAGGGGCGGGGTGTGTGTGTGTGTGTGTGTGTGTGTGTGTGTGTGTGTGTGTGTGTGTGTGTGAGATGATGGACAGGAAGATGGAAAGACAACAGCACATTGTGCTTCCTGCCACATTCTTGCCTGGCTCAGGAGCCTGTTTGTGGCAGAGGCCCTGGTTCTGGCTGAGGATAAGGCAGCAGCTGAGCCTTTAGTTCCCAGCACCCACAGAACAGCTCATGGCCACCTGTAACTCCAGCTCCCAGGGACCTGACACCCTCTTCTGGACTCTCTTGGAACTGCACTCATACAAATTAAAAAAAAAAAAAAAAAAAAAGCCTTAAAAAACAAAACAAAACAACAACACACCACAGCCTGGGGAGTGGTGAACCACATCACAGGCAATGCTGGTGAAATGTTCTGAAAAGACTGTACAAGGGATTTGGTGAGTGAGGTTCTAATATGCATTTAAAAAGGCAGTGCAAATAACAGAGACGCAGAGTCTATCATACTTTCCCTGGATGTTATGAAAGTTTTGTCAAAAGCTTGCTGGGGGCTCAGCAGGAAGGGCTCATGTCACCAAGCCTGATGACCTGAGTTTGACCGACCGCTAGAACCCACATGGTGGAAGGAGAGAGCCGACCCCCCACAAGCTGTCCTCTGATGTTCACACACATAGTCAGTGTAAGGACCAAATCCCAAGGCCAGGCTACACAAACCCTGCCTGCCTGCTGTCCCCATCAGAAAGTGCCAGACAGCTTTGCGCCCAGACACTGCCTGAGGAACTTTCAGTATCACAGACTCTTGGTGCCCTGAGGGATTTGGACTTCAGGAGAACCATTAGCAGCTCTCACTGGATGGGGAAGGCAAGGCATGGCACAGTGAACAGAAGGATGGTCCTGCCAGAGGCAGATAGATGCACTCACTAAAGGCTTCTTCGTATCAGTGATCCACTGCCCTTGTTGCTTGACAAGAACTCTGGGGTTTTGAGGCCCCACTCAGTGCCAATAGGTGAACAATGTGGGGGTGGGGGTGAGGGGGAGGCAGAGAAGGACCCAGAACACTGCCCCACAGTGTTCTGGGCTGTGGTCACTACAGGATACAGGTGAGGCCACTTGGCTACACCAAGCTACCCAGAATGCACTCTGCTCTTTCTTACCTTGCCCTGTCCATCTGTCTGCAGCTCAGCCAGCTTCAGGGCAATCTTGGGATTCTTGCTGCCTGTGGGAGAAGGCCAGGTGAGTGCCAGGATGCCAGTGGCCACCGTGGTCAAGGACGGAGTGACCACACCTGTGGGGAGATGGCACAGTCCCTCCCAGGCATGACACTAAGTCTCCAAGGCAGGGATAATCTGACCTAGGACCTGGACCACATTCCTAACGGGATATACAATGTGTTATTTTTGTCACCTGGGAGCTGGAATGGGAATACAACACAGAAGGGATATGGCCCTGTCCCTACCTCTGTGCAGTACAGGAAGAGCTGGGGACAAGGACAGGGCATATCACCACACTCAGCCAGGCCCAACCCTTGGGAGACAGCAGTCACAGGCTGGGACAGTCATCCACACTTCTAACAGGTGGTATGTCGATGAGACTATTTTCTTAGGGTGCTTTGGGACAGATCCTGGATTTCTCTGGATAACATGAGGTACCTGACAAATGAATGACTTCACCTTACCTAAGTCTCAGTTTCCACATCTGCCAAGCATGGGGAAAATGTGCATCATCCCACAGATATCTCATGGGAAGCCTAGGTCCAACCCACACAGCACCTGGGAGGGCTTACTGTGTGTATGCAATGGCAGTCTATTTTATTTATTTTATTTTTTGAGATAAGGTCTCATGTAGTCCAGAATTTCCTATAAAACTGAGGCTGACCTTGAATTCCTGATCCTTCTGCCTTCAGCATCAATAACAGATGTGCCCCTCCACACCCAGTTTGTGGTACTGGGGATGGAGCCTGGGGCCCACCAGGAGTTCTGTCCCCACTGAGCCTCAGTTCGAGTGACTCCCACAGAGGCACAGGCAGCAGGCCTGAAGCTGAACCAGGCTAGCCAGGGCTGCTGCTGGCTCAAGGCTTCTAATACCTTGAGACACCTCAGGGGCTCAGCCCAGACAGCCAGTCTCTGGCACTGCCTCCACTTATTTTTTTGATAGATATTCACTATGTAGCCCAGGATGGCTTAAACTCATCAGCCTCCTGCCTTGGAGGCACCACTACACTTCAACATTTTCTATGAGGCTCAGTCTGCTTGTCTGTGCCCAAGACATGGCATCGGGCAGTTAGATGATGCTGCCACACTTATTTTCTGGACCTATTTGGAGAATCTGTGACCTGACAAAGGCAGGCAGAGGGGACCCCGGAGGGCAGAGGCCCCATGGCAGCAGGTGGCCTTGCCACTGGCACCCACCTGTCCTGGGGTAGCGGTAGGAATCAGTCTTCCTCTCCTCCAGGGCAGGGGAGGGTACATGGATGACCTCCACTTCAGACTCATCCACTTCCTCATACAGGATCCGCAGCGTCTTGAGGCCTTCTGAGCCTGGTCAGGGGCAAGGAGCAGAGACTCGGGGCACCCAACCACACCACACAGGAGCTCTGAGCCTCAGGGGGACCACAGGAGCCAGCAAGAAGTGACACAGAGATACCCACTTGGGGTGTAGAGTTAAGCTGGGCTCTGAAACCATGTATTCAAGCTCTAGTCTAAGGCCTTGCCTTTGTGCTGTGTCTGAGGGAGGTCAGGGGACCCAGGGCCAGTATAACAGGAATACTCATAAACACAGAACAATGGAGACACGCGGAGTGTCAGAGCCTTAGGAAAAGCCAGCTTTGTCATATTGCACCCAGAACCACAAAGACCAGTATGGAGCTACACATTTCTGTTGTCTATGCCACTCAGTGACGGTGATGTTGTCATGTAACCTAAACATATACTCACATGCCCTGGAAGTGTAAAACACCACAGTGAGGGGCTGGGGGTGTGGCTCTGATCTCTATGGTCACCCAGTGTTCTCCTATCTCCAGAAATGTGGTTTATAAGAATACCAAGCCAAGTGAGCAAGGCTTTGTCATCTTCCTTTCCTGTGCAGACCTTGCCATGAGTATTTAATGGGTCCCTAAATGTTGGTCCTGGAACCACACGGGCTAATTTAGTGGAGATGTAAGGCCCAGAACTGGAGAAGTGGGCTGCCTACCTTCCCAAGAGGCCGTGGGACACCACCAGCATCCGGTGAAGCGGTCAAACTCCTCCTGGATGACAAAGGTAGCCACACCTGCAGACTTGGGATCGTCTAGGACATTGGCTGAGCCTGGGGGAGGGCACACTGTAAGTGACACACAGCCTTGGGGAGGGCACACTCTGAGTGACACACAGGCTCCTGACGACCACTGTGAGTCAGGAACTCAAAGCGAAACCCCACACAAGCTGGACACCACAACTGGCTTTCAAGGGCTGGGTGTCCAGGGCACTGTGCACCACTGAACAGCAGAGAAAGATTCTAGAAGCTGGGCTGGCAGCGACAATAGCCATTTTTGCAGAACATGTTGAGGTGGCCAGGCAGACTGCCCACCCCCATTCATGCCCAAGCCTCACCCTGGTGACAGAAGGTGAGCCGCCGTTCCTCTCCTGTCTCAATGTTGGCCACCCACAGGTCACTGTTGTTGATGAAGGAGAAGAAGGCAGGGTCTGCGGGGCAGATCTTGGGGTCCATGCGTGGCCCAGAGCACTGGGTCTTGATCTCTAGTGGCTTCATAGGGGACACCTGGGGACAGGGAGGTTGGGTCAGGCACTGGTACCATGTCCCCACCCCAGGATGCAGGCTGTGTCTCACCATGAAACCATTCTTGCCACCGTCCCTGCAGTGGAACAAGCTGTTGCTAGCCTGGAAGAGGAAGAGGCCACTTTCACTGTGGAAGTCATAAGAGGTGATACCGAAGACACCCAGGCGCTTGCGCTCCCGGAGCAACTCCTCCTCTCGAGAGTAGACACCATGGTGGGGTGTGGCCTGGGGACACAGGGGACAGGGTCTCATTCCGTTTCCCCATTGTGACACAGAGCATCTCATGCTGGCTGGAAACTCTCATAATGTTCCCATATCCTCATCTTTACTGCCTGTGGTGACATCTGGCCCCTGCCCTTGCTGATGCCCTCCTTAATTCTTAATGTCCCCCTGGGGACCTCCCCCACCCTTCCTGATGAGAACATTCCATCTAAATCCACAGCTCTACCTACAGAACACACCCAAGGTTTCTCTAACCAAAGCTGTCTGGACCGACATGGCCTGGGCTAGTCTGGAATTCACTATTTGGCAGAATATAACCCTGACAGGCGTGTACCACCACACCTGGTTTTTACAGTGTCAGCACGGGACCCAGGGTTTCCTGTGTTCAGTTGAGTGTTCCATGCCCTGAGCCTCAGAACTGGGCTGGGGTGCAGCTCAGAAGCAGGGTATGGACGAGGCAAGTATGAAAGCCTGGGTTCCATTCCCAGCACTGTGCTGAGCAGAAGGCTAGCCAGGAACTAAGAGCAGCCACCCAGTTGGGAGTGAGTGGGCAAGACGGAGGGGAAGAGGATGGGGGAAGGCGGGGGGGGGGGGGGGGGGCGACGGACCTCAGGCATGATGCTGTGACAAATTTATTGTTCCCTCCGAGTACAGCCATGCCAGGGTGTCCCCTTCACTGGGCACCTCTGGGCATTGACATTAATCATTAGCCAGGCCCATGAATCAGCCCTCATTTGAAGGTGCAGATAGGAGAGAGAAATGGTCTGATAAGTGCCCGGGTCAGAAGTTTGTTCCCAGAAACAGGTGTGGCATGGTGGCTCACCTGGAAGTGGTCCAGCATCTGCTTCCAGGACAGTAGCAGCAGGGCCTCCTTCCGTACCTTCTTGGGGATCTCAGAGTAGAGTAGGGAGTTCTCTCGGCTGCCATACGGCATTCCTGAGGAGGGGTCAGAGAAACAAACCTCAAGAGTGGGTGCCCCACCTGGGGGGTACCAGGCTGTGCCTCCCGTTTCCAGTTGGATGTCCATCGCTATGTGCATATGGGAGCCAGAGTGGACATCAGGTGCCTCCCTGCTCTCTGCCTTAGACATACAGGGATCCACCTGCCTCTACCTCCCTAGTGCCGGGATGACCACCATGCCTGGCCTCTGTCTTTTTTGAGACATGGTGTCCCACTGACTCAGCTAGCTGGCCAGTGAGCCCCAGATCTCCTCCTGGCTCTAGAGTGGTGGTTCCCAGCCTTCCTGATGCTGCGACCCCGTAATACAGTTTCTCATGTTGTGGTGACTCCCAATTATAACATTACTGCCATTGTTACTTCATAACTCTAATTTTGCTACTGTCATGAATCACAATGCAAATATCTAATACACAAGATGTCTGATGTGACCCATGTGGGTTGCAACCCACAAGCTGAGAACCACTACTCTAGAAGGTTTCTCTGTATGCTGGCAAAGACTAAGGAATAGACCAGTCTCAGATGAATATAAGGCTAAACCTTAGGGAGAGGATGAAGGAATGGGTGTGTATGTGCGCGCACCTGTGCCTGTGTGGGGCAGTGGTGGGAAGGGTGGAGGTGTCCCACAATGCTCACAGCAGGTGGCTTCCAGGGAGTGTCCTACTACAGCCATGTCTCCACCCAATCCAACCTGGATGGAGGATAGCTCCAACCCCACCCTCCTCAGGCCCTGCCCAAGGCTCCTATGGGCATCACCTCTGAGCATATTTGGATCTGGACCCTGACTGAAAGATATGCATGGTCACTGAAGGAAAGTATGCAACAGGAAATTGCCTGTATCAAGAGTTCCCTCCATTTTCCCAGCAATCTCCATGGCTGGGTCAATCTCTCATAGAAGCTATCACGTGCTGTAGCGGAGCCCTCAGCATCGTTGGCACAAGCAACCCTTACTCCACAGTCCACAGTCCAGTAATAGCTGTACATGTACATCCCCTCCCTGGCGAGTGAGAGTGTCCTGTAGCCCAGGCTGGTCTCTGACTTGCTACGTAGTCAAGGATAGCCCTGAATTCTTGTTCTTCCAGCCTTCACTTCCCAAGAGCTGGGATCACATGGGACATGTCCTCTACGGATGGGGATTCTGAGGTCACGATGCAGGGCAATCCCATGTAATATAGCCTCACTGTCATGACCAGTTAAGTGGTCAGCAGGGGGCGACCAACACCAGCATGCCTCAACTTAACCTCTGTGGTCAAGAAGTCTGGGGACCAGCCCTGTGCTCCTGAGTCCAGAGCAGTCCAGGCAAATTTGTGGCGCTTGGTAGCCCCAGAATGCAGTGCCTCTTCCAGTGACTTGCAGGACGCATGACCTCTGCCTTACTGCACTTCTACAGCTTGCTGGGACTGTTTGGTTTTCTAAGACAGGGTCACTGTGTAGCCTGGGCTGTTGTGGAACTTGCTATGTTGCTCAGACTGGCCTTGAACTCAGAGATCCATTGCCTCTCCTGAGTGCTGGGATTAAGTTGTATACTATTGGGCCTTGAACCTTTATGAACATGACACAGGGCCAGTGAACACCACATGATGTAAGGAGACTAACAAACTCCCATAAGCTGTCCTCTGACCTACACATGTGCCATAGTGTATGGATGTCCCACACACAGATAATTAAGAACTGTAGGGAGTGAGACATTATGAGGTGTGACTGTCCCCTCAGTCCTACTGAAAGGCCCATGCTGAGCCTGTGGGGAGACTTCACCAGCAGTGGCCTGCTGTCCTCGGAGCTTCTGAAAAGGAAGTCCAAGGCAAGTCTGTGCCAAGGACATCAAAGCCACCACCCTTCACAGCTGATTAACAAGCAATTATACCAATGGCTCCGGCCAACTGGTGCATTCCTAGATGGGCCTCCAGTGCTGGCACCACAGCCCACAATGCCTAGCACTGACGGCAAAGTGGAGCTCCCTGGTGATGCCCTCACTATGTCTCGGCTGCCTCACCCGACTTACCAGCTCTGCATGCGCGCGCGCACCTACCCACCCACCCACTTCAACTGGTCACCCTGCCCAGCCCTAGGCATGCTGGATGCTCTGGACCCACACCTACACTGACTCTAGCCACCAAAGTGTGGACTTGGCCAGCCTGGCAGGGACTAGATGGACTAGAGTGCTCAGTACATTTTGAGCCCAAGACAGAAGCCAAGAGTCCAGGATTCTCTAGGCCCTGAAGTCTCCCTGCCATGACAGAGGGGCTGCCTGGCAATGGAATGGGTTACCGGTCAGGGCCAGTAAGGCCCCTCAGGACTCAGCCCATCCCTCACACAGGACCCATGACTGATCTCCATGCCCCACATGGGCCCATGAGAGGACACAGAGGTCCTCGGAAATGGCAGGGTCAGGCCACATTCTTAGGGAAACATCAACCAGGGACTCTGCCATGCCCTCACCTAATCCTGGGTGACACCTGGCACAAGGAAGAGAATAAGGGACTTGGTGGAACCAGCAGGTGATCTGAGGCAGTTAGTGAGAGCACTGAGAGAATTAGTCATGTCCACAGGGCGCTGGGCTCCTCTGCATGTGTTTGGGGGTCTGTCTTCACTACGCACTCATCTGTGGTCCTCCAGCTCCATGAAGACCCCCCAGCACTCTGTGCTGAACCCTGAGGACAGTGCACCTCAGCCCAGGTATACACATACAGGCCACATGTGAATGATCACCACCTGGGCCAATCCCATTCTTTCTCCCAGAAACCTTGAGACCTCAAGAGACCTTGCCCACCCATGCCAGACAAGTAGATGACTGACAAGTCTAGCTAAGCTAATGAGATCCCTTCTACAGAAACCCTACAAGCTCAAGGCCATGCCCACCCAGTCTACATGGCCAAGCCAACAAGGCACAGACTCCTTCCAGAGACCTGGAGGAAGGGGGCTGAGAATTTGCAAGGAGCCAGGGTGAAAAGTTCACAGAACCCAGGCTGAGACAATCAGATTTCTTCTCCCAGGAACCTGGAGCCAGAGGGTCAATTCCCACTGCTGGTGGGAAGACAGGAGACCTGAGGTGCCAGTATGAATGCTGAAAGAGGTGGACTGGAGCCAAAGTCATGGTCTCACGAGGCTCTGGGTTGCAGGTGCCTCATCCTGAGGCTGGTGGCTTTAGGTACTGACTCTCTGGTACCAGGTGCACTTTGTGGCCAAGACCTCAGAAGGTTCTGTCCTTTTCCATGGTCCTGAGTAGCTGAGATGTCTCCCCAGAGAGAGAGAGAGAGAGAGAGAGAGAGAGAGAGAGAGAGAGAGCTGTGTCCTGGGCCTAAATTCAAAAGTCACTGTCTTTATTGAGACAGGGATCTGTGGCTATGGCTGTACTAATGATCTCAAGCTACTAGAAATCTCAGAAAACCAAGGTAAAGGGAGCTCTCAGACAGAGAAGTAAGCCACGTGATCATGGAGGCAGAGACGGAGAGATTCAGACACAAGCCTACGGATGCTGCACACTTCACAAGCTGGAAGAGACAGGAAGGTCCTGCCCAGAGCTCTGGGAGAAACGTAGTCTGGCTGCCATCTTCCCTTCAGCAGGTGCAGGCTGGGACTATGCAACCAGTGGGCAGAGCCACCACTGAGAAGTAGGAACCCAGAAGTCTCTCTGGTCCTGCTCTCCTCCGTGGGAGCATGGCTATGTGCCATGGCTGCTGTGGCTCATAGCTATCACATAGTCACTCAGCAGTATAGCAAGATCAGCAGGCTTGTTCTGCATTTACAGAGTCTTTGCATTTACAGAGACTTCCTAGTGGGACAGCTCTGAAGAGGAAGTATGGGGACAGTGGGAAGAGGGTGGCCACCCAGTGTCCATCTCGGCTCCTGTCATCCATGTATGGTCAGCAGCGGGCAGGTGATAATGTTCAATCATTCATTCATTGAATGCTGAGACCTGGACATGCACAGACATGGTCTCAGGGACCAAGGCCACCATGACCAGCAGCAACAAGACTGGCTTGGAGGATGACTAGAGGCACTTGTCCTAAAAAGTGTTTCTCAACTAGAGGCAACACCAACCCCCAGGAACCCTGAGCAATGTCTAAGACTGTGACACGGGGGAGTCTCGCCACAGAGTGGGCATATGCAGAGCCTAGGACAACCACAAGTGACCCAGCTGGAGTCCACAGTGCAAGGGGACCATAACTCTAGTCAACAGCCAGGAGGCATACTGTTTATAAGCAAACAAGCCCAGCTGATTTCCAGAAGGTGTTTTCTTCTAGTTTTCTAGGCCCTTTAGGCCTAGTAGGGTAGGGTCTGCTGCCCCATGGACACTTCCTGTCTATGTGCTGGGCCAGGCACAGGCATTTCCTGTCTATGAGTTGGGGCTGGGTGCGGGCCTGTTTGCAGAAGCTATGGAAAGCCTAAGGGGGGTCACACCGGAAGTGCTGGTGGACCAGAAGGAACACAGTTTGCCAACAGCTGGGCCAGAAGTAGGACCTCCAGGTCCTGTGGCAGGATGGTGAGCCATACTCCACTGCTGGCCCACGGTACACTACATGGAAATGGTTCCAATCTTTGAGGCGTGGACTCCATCCTAACACATTACCACACAGTGAGTCCCTACTGGAGCAGCATGTAACCTTTCCACAGGGATCTAAGTCCCATCCTGTTTACCCAGAAAGCCCTGCCCAGCCAGCACCAGAGGCCTGGGAAGTGGCCCAGCTGGGAGTAGTTTCTAGACTCAAAACCACCTGGCCAGCCATGAACTGTCACCTGCATGGCTGACCTTGGAGGTGGACTAACGTTGCTTGCCCCAGGCTGGTTGCTACTGAAATCTTGGGCAGCAAAGGGCAGTGAGGGCGGGGGCAGCTTACCCAGGTAGTAGAGACGGTGGGAGTGGGGGCCAGACTCATCAGGCTTCTGCACAAACTGGAAATCGTGAGGGGCCTTGCTGATAATGAGGCCCGACGACTTACGGCTGCCGTGAATAATGTTGCGCAGCCCGTCCCAGGAGTGCTTCTGCACACAGAAGCGTGCTGCCGTGTCATCCATGTCGCCTGCCGCCACCTGCTCGGCTGGGGAGACCCCGCTGGACATTCTCTGGGGCTCCTGTGACGGCAGTGAGAAGCTGTGAAGGGAAACAGTTCGTGAGAGAGGGTGTCTTCCTGACAAGCTGCCCTCGCCATGGATGCTTCCAAATCAGTCATTCTGGGCAGCCACACTGTTACCCAAGTGTCTCTCAAGTTCACTGCAACTTGTTCACTCTATTTTCAGAAGAACCAAGGCTCTGCTGAATTAAAGCAGGACTCCAGCTGGATCCACACCACTCCTTCAACTGAAACTCTTCCTGGCCTACCACGCCTTAGTTGAACGGGCTTAGGGGGTGGAGCCCCCACCAAGAATCCCCCAGTGAGGGGCTGGGGGTCTGGCTCAGTGGTAGATGCTAGACTAATAGAAACTGCAGGCTTTAAGAAGCACACAACAAAAATCCAGTGTTTTCTGGCGTCCAAGGACCCCCTCCTATGCCTTCCAGAACCTTGAACACCGCTCTTCACTACTGTGATCTAGAGAAACCAGTCCTTACTCAGATGGGAGACTCCATGCATCTGTCCCAGGGCACATGCCACCCTTTCTGTGCTGGACTTCTTCATCTTAGGCTGACTAGCTTCTGCTTTTGTTTTGTTTTTTGAGACTGGATTTCTCTGTGTAACAGTTATGGCTGTTCTAGAACTCTCTCTGTAGGACAGGCTAGCCACTAACTTATAGAGATCCACCTGCCTCTGCCTCCTGGGTGCTGGGATCAAAGACATGCACCACCACCACCCAGGAGGTTGACTAACTTCTAGACCAATCTCAGCTAAGTACTAAGTATGAAATAGGTCCTTAGGAACCATCTCGTGCCATCCATCCTGAGATGGCTACAATAGCCTTTCCCTCTCCACTGGACTGTCCCTAAGCACCTTCCACTATGGTTACTTGATGAATGAACAAATACTTGAGGCTTCCAGATAAAAAGCCAACCCTGTCACTGTGCATAGGAGACATCTGCAGGGGCCTTCATACAGACATCATCCAGGTAAAAATCCTCCAGGCCACCTCTTGTCCATGCTGGGACTGGCCACCTTCCAGCAGCTCCCTCCCCCTCACAGCCACTAGGCTCCAGCTCTGCCTGAGCAGACCTGGACCAGCCAGGCAAATATTTGCTTTAAAGAAATCTAAACACCCACCCAGCCACAGTGACCCAATTCTGGGTGTGCCAGAGTGGCTGGGGGCAGCTCCAGGGGCTGAGATCCCTCGGCAGGCTCCAGGAGCTTCTGCCACAGTGCCTCCATGGCCTCAGTACTGGCAGGAAGTAGAAACTGACACACAAGGGTCAGGGCTGGGGGGCGGGCAAGAGGGTGGAGGGACGCATGCGCAGCTGAGCAGGACCTTCACAGCTGTCTTCCAACAGACCGCAGTGACTAGGCTGGCCACACCTTTAACCCCAGCAGAGCAAGGCAGACCTCTGAGTCCCAGGCCAGCCTGGGCACACCTGTGACCCCAGTGCCTAGGAGGCCAAGGCAGGAAGATGGCAAGTTCCGCCCAGGTCACTGAGTGACACTGTCTCAAAACCAACACCAGTAAAAAAGTATGCAAGATGGCTCAGTGATTCCCCACCCCAGAAGCACTTGAAAGTGGAAAGAGAGAAATTACTCCACAAAAACGACCTCTAGAACTTCCTGAGGACATGCAAACACACATCTACAGACAGTAATAAATGAAAGGAAAGGGGGCTGGAGAGATGGCTCAGAGGTTAAGAGCACTGGCTGTACTTCCAGAGGTCCTGAGTTCAATTCCCAGCAACCAAATGGTGGCTGACACCATCTATAATGAGATCTGGTGCCCTCTTCTGGCCTGCAGGCATACATCACTGTATACATAATAAATTTAAAAAAAAAAATAAATAAATAAATGAAAGGAAAAACAAATCAGAGAAAGGGCTCCCACAGGGGACAGAAGTGAGGCCCCAGACTGCTTTGAGAAGCGCAGGAAGGAAGGAAAGACATCACTATTGACATCCTTTCACTCTGACTTTCAGGAGCCCATTGTACAGGTAGTGGAACTGAGGCTAGGGACAGAGCCAGGAGTCGGGAGCTTCTGCTCCCAGGCTCCTCTGCCACACTGTGCCCAGCTACAGCTCGGGAAGTCTCTAAAAGGCAAGTATGGCAGATACCCTGGGCAGGGTGGAGCAGAACCTCCAGGCAGCAGGCTCACCTCCCTGGGCTCAGTATTCTTGGCAGAGAGACACAAGGAGCTATGGCTTTCCCCGTCCCAGAGGGCACTGCCTTGGTTCTTAGGATGCAGACCAGTGGCCTCAGATGTCCCCAAGGCCCTAAATCCAACATCTCAGAGAAAGTCAGGGATCCCCAGAGCTGCAATGCATCCTCAGGGTAGTTGGAGAGCAAGGGCAGTGACAAGCAGAGGCTGCCGGCGGCAGCAAGCCAGAAATCTGAGCCAGGCAAATACCACTGACTGGCTCAAGTACCTCCAGACTGGGCCAGCCCAGTTCAAGCCTTGTTCAAGCAGGAAACACAAACTGTGACCTGTGGGTTCCCAGAAGGGACCCCTTCAGGCTGATAAGATCCTGTCACACCTGTACAGAAGAGGACCTGCGAGGGCCTCTTGTCTTGAGTCACCGCAGAGGGTCCAGGTTGCAAAGATTCGCTCCAGGAAGTGGGACATGAAATGAGACATCAGGAATTTTGGATGGATTCTGGAACCTCTTGGCGTGCACTCCAGCTAGGCTGAGACCTGGGGCTATTGCCTGACAGTGCCACTTGCGTCTCTGCTATCCCGATGCAAAATGGGACCCAGAGAGGGGCTGGGGAGTAAACATGTATAGCAAGGCTTCTGCCTACACCAACCTGCCCCGCAGTTCCCACTCAAGAGTTTACACAGCTGGGGATGAAGTCGATGCCAAGCCGCTTAACTAACCCAGCTACCTACGCTTTCTTCCTGCTCATTGGCATGTCGCCTCCACAGCCTGTAAAGCCACCAGCAAACAGTATCTAAATCTTGGGGCCATGGTCAAGACTGCTGGAGTTCTGATGGCTTATTTCCCAGGGGTAGCCCTTACATGCCTGACTTTCTGAAGGAGCCTCAGAACGGACCTGTGGGAGGGGGAAACAGCAGAGGCACAGAAGAAACCAAGGCTGGTGCTTGCTGCTCAGGAGTTCAGGTGGGGAGACACAGCAGTGTGGAAGGGGATGACTTGCAGATGCCCCACAGTAGGTAAGAGAAGGGAATCCAGACCTGTGTCCCATACCAGCTGTCCTGGCTAATGCCCAGTTTAGGATTCAAGGCCTTACAGGGTAGATCTTGAGCCTGAACTTAAATTCAGCTGTGAGACTTGGGGACCATGGGTGCAGGGACCACAGATTAAGAGTCACCATGCCCAGATCTTGTATCTTGGGAGGCCCTGCTCTAGACACCCCCTCCCTCCCTGCTCTCTCTTGCCACCTAATTAGAAAGTGGGTGCTGGGCTAGACACCAGGGTGGAGGAGTCTCGGGCCTCTGCATCCCATTTTGGGCCACACAAGGCATAGGATTCACTGAGGTCCTTGCTGCATACACTTGATGTGTACTGTGACCTGGGGTCACTTCTGAGGTTACACTCATAGTAGGGACTAGAAAATGAATGCGGGGAAGCTATGTAGGCTTGTGGCATGTCACCCAGGGAGGAAGGCCCATTTTTGGGACAGTTACCACTCCATGAGCCAGGGTTCTCACACTGGATGGGTCTGTCCCAGCAGACTTGTGTCCAGGTCTGGGGACTCCTGTGATTGGCATGAATTAGGATGGGAGATACCTGTTAGCAAGGGAGGAGAGGGAAGAGGGAAGAGGTAGAAAGAGGTAGAAGAGAAGAAGGAAGACAGACAAAGAGAGAGAGAGAATAAGGAGGAGATGGAGGAAATGAAGGAAACAGAAGAGTGGAGCCCCGAGTCACTGTAGCACCCTGAAGTGACAAGATGTACAACAGAGTGACCTAGTCTAGGGTCCATCCCTACTGGCACCAGCAGAGGGGGAGCAGGTGCAGGGAGTTGCTGAACTGACTGGCCATCAGGACCCCACCCATACACCACCCCAGCCTTCCTCACCTTCTCCTTCTTCCTCCTGATCCAGATGCAACCTGACCTTTGACATTGACCCACTGACTGGCAGTGGGGACCACAGTGGGGGGCTGCAATGCCAACAGTTCACCATTGCTTCCAGAAGGGCACTGGCCATGCCAAATGTCTCACTGGGTCCCAAGCAACAGCAACTTACATCTTTTGTGGGGTATGTTTCTGGGATTCAGCAAACTCTGGGTACCCTCCTGCTTCTGGGATACCTCATCACCCAAGGCCACCACCACCACCTGCACTTCATACCTTCACCACAAACCCAGCCCAAATCCATCTTTCCCTGCTTGTCTCCACATCTGAGTGGGGAGGGGGGAAGGTAAGCACACAGAGCAGTTGGGCTCTATTGTACCCACGTCCCTAAGTCCAGGAAACTGTGGGAACAGAATGTAAGCTTCAATTCATCCTCCTATCAGCTGCTCACCCCACATGAAAGCTTCCTAGGAAAACTTACTTGGAGGACATCATGGTCTCAAGGCGGTGACTATCAACTGGGGACCCCAGGAGATGTCTGGGGACATATGTGGCTGCCCTGACCAGGAGAACTTGGCCAGGAGTGGGTGGAGGGCTGAGTGTTGTTCGGCACCTAGTACGACCCAGGATGCCTCACAGAGAGCAACCCATGCCAGTGTCCTTGAGGAACTGACATATTCCCTCTGAGTTACTGTCCCAGTCACCACCCAGCTGCCACCACTCTTCTCAAAAGAGTCTGACAGTCTTCTAGATGTTCAACAACACCTTGATACAGAATGGAGGTTTGGCCAGTATCCTCTGTCCAGTGCTGAAAAGCAGGGTCCCATGTCAGAGGAAGAAGGGATCGAACCCCAGCCTACCCACATCTGTGCTGTTTGATCCTAGAGAAGCTCCAAACCTTACAGGGCCTCCCAAAGTTACAAACTGGAACTACGGTGAGGATTAACAGGAATGTACACATAAGACATCTTCATAATGACAGCTGTCAAATGAATGAGCCACTTAAAAAAACTATCACAGTGATTGATGCCCAGGTTCTGGGTACTGTATCAAATGTGCTGGGTAGGGGTTGCCACACCTCTCCCAAACCCAGCCTACTCATTACTCTGCCTTTGTGCCCCTGGAGCCCTTGGAGGGCAACTGGAGAGAAGAATGTGGGGAGGTATCAGATATGCAAAAGATTGCAGCAGCAGCCATAGCCCTGGGTGACTGACCCGAGCCACACACAAAGCCACATCCTCTCAACCTCTGCATTCCAGAGCAAGCAGACCCAGAATGCCCAGTCCAACCCATAGCCAGCCTGGATGCCTGAATCCCAATGTAACTGACCTTCTAAAGGGTCCCAGGAGCTTCCATGGCAGCTGCAGGCGAGGGGCACGGACCTTGACAGAACAAATGTGGCGTTAAGGTGGGCAGATGCCAAGAGATGGCAAGAATGGAGGGGTTGGTGAAGATGGGGGTTGGCAAGGATGAGGGGCTGGCAAGGATGGAGGATTGGGGGACCAGTGAGGATGGAGGGGCTGGTGAGGATGGAGATGCTGGTGAAGTGCTTGGCTTCTCACTCACTTTCCATGCGGGAGGGAGTCTCCGCCTGTGCGGTCTAACCCTATCTACCTGGTTAGACTCTAACTGAGCCTCCCAGCCCCTCGGGGCTGCCAGCATGCCCTGGGCTGCACTTGGAAGAGACGTGTCTCTCAGTGCCCGGTCTCCCCAGGACCCAGCTGGGAACTGGCGACTGTGGTCCACACCTCCTGGGCACCAGTCCCAGCTCCTCGAAAGCAGGTTGGTGACTGCCCAGGGGGCTCCCAAGGGAGCCTGGGTGGGAGGCTGCAAGAGGGCCACTGGGAAGGAAGGCTGGACTATAGAGTGGATGGGGAGGGGATGGGGCGGGCCTAAGGCCTGGACCCTGAGGGTGGGGCTAATGATACAGGATTGAAGCTGGAAGCTGAGGACTAGGGGTTCAAGCTAATCAGAGGGAGAAAGGGGTGAAACAGAGGATATAATTTGATTCTGGGAGGGTATCAAGCTTGGCATGGGACAATGCAGAAACCGAGGCAGAAGACAGGGGCTGAGTGAGGAATCAGTCTTGGGCAGAAACAAGCTAGGAGAGTGAACAGGCTTGGAGGAATCAGGCTGGTAGGGTCATTTGGAGAGGTTCATGCTAGGGGTATCAAGCTTTGGGGTATCAGGATTGAGAGGAGGGTCAACTGGCCTTGAGGAAACAAGTTACGGGGATCAAGTGTTAGGGATCAGGCTGGAGGAATCAAGCTGGAAAGGGAATCAGGTTTGGAAGGGATCAGGTTTGCGGCGATCCGGCTTGGGAGGTCAAGATGGGAGAGGATGAGGCTTGAGAGGATCAGGCTGCGGGTGGGGGTGGGGATATGAGGCCGGGAGAAAGGGTTTGGCGGAGACGAGGCTGGCGGAGGCTGGCGGAGGCTGCGCTGACGCCGGGCTGAGCCGCGCTCTGCGATGAAGCTGGCAGCGGCGTCTCCGCAGCGGTGCGGCAGCAGCTCCTGGGCGCGGCCCGGAACGGGCGAAGCGCGGCGACCGGGGCGGCGGGGACGACGAGGACAGGGCGCGCGGCGCCGAGGCGGGCGGACGGCGCCGGCCGGGGCGGGAGGCGGCGAGCCGGGGCCGGGCGCTGCTCACCGGGGCGCGGCGCGGAGGACGAGTTGGGCAGGGGGTCCCCGGGGCCTGCGGCGCCTCACGCGCGACGCTCCATGCCCCGGACGACGGCCCGGAAGTGCAGGGCGCGGGGGGACAGCGAAGGCGGCGGACACCGGGGACCCGCCGGCTGTGCCTCCTTTGACCCGGAAGTTGAGCTGCAGGAGCGGCAGCTTATGATTGGATAACGTCAGGGCAGAACCAACAACCCCGAAGCTCTAGGGGGGCAACGCGCGGACCAGTCTAGCGCGGAAGGCAAGGCCAATGGCGCCACGCTGTCCCGGAGAGGGTTGTGGTTCGCACACCCCTGCAGCGATAACGGTCGGCCAACCGGACCCTGCGACGACCTATTAAACAGACCCGAGAGAGAAAGGGAAACCGAGGCGTCGGTGGAACCGTGGTTCTGTCTTCCAAGCAGTTGGCTGGCCCTCGTTCGATACCGGCCAACGCTTCTGTTAAGATGTCTGTTTTCAATTTACCCTTTTAGTTCCTTGAAAATCAACTTTCAGTTTCATTAAACAAAACAAACCCTACAGAAGCTAGCCGTGGTTGCTCACGTCAATCATCCCAGCCCTCAGAAAGCTAGGAGTTCCAGGCTAGACTGAGCTACGAAATGAGATCGTGACTCAGAAACAAGAACCTTAAAATAAAGATCCCTAAAATACAGAATAGAGAAGGAGGACAAAAATACGGTGCCAAATTGCGACTTGGGAAAGTGGGTTAATTTTGATTGGGCGATCAACATGGTTCAGCTCATGCAGGCGATTGCCCTTAAGCCTTACTACCTTTGTTCAGTCCCGGTCCCCGCATGATGGAAAGAGAGAATGGGCTCTTAATCTCCACGCCGGGTGCTACGGCACGAATACAAAATAATTAAAAATTCACACAAACAAAAAGTAGTCAAAATAAGCCCTATTTTAAAATAATATTCTATAATTAACCGACTTGGCTCCGAAATAACTCCAGAGGAACATGCCATCAGATACACCACCAAGGATTTTGTAGTTTGAAGGAAGTGCTAGCTTATGCCCATCGCTCCAAACTGTGGGAAATGTGGAACCCAGGACCTCCACTGAAGGCAAGCACTCTGCTCCTGAGCTACATCCCCAGCATTGAACTTTATGCTTTTATTTCCATTTTATTTCTCATCATTTTTGAGACAGGCTCTCATTATGCAGCCTTGGCCAGCCTGGAACTCTTGGTATAGATACATCAGGGAGGCTTTGAACTCTCAGAGATCCCCTTGCGTCCACCTAGACCCTCACCTCCCATTTTACTTTTTTTGTGTTAGGTGTGTTTGAGTGAGTCTACAACACTTAGGCAGAAGAGGGCCATGGGGCCCCTGGAGCCATATGGGTGCTGAGAACTGAACGCCCTTGCTGATCCTTCTCTCTCCAATCCCTAAAGAGCTTTTGTAAGTAAAGTCACAATCCCCAAAAGTTGTCATAACTGGGTTCCTGGGGAAGAGCAGCCATTGTTTAGCCATCTCCCATTGTTATTGGAGTCCCTCCATTGTTGATACTTAACTTCCTGAATAGCTAGCTAGTTGCCTGGATATCCTGAGGGTTACATTTTGAACAAAATGTTGCAACCAGCTTTCCTTTCCAGGAAGCCTCCCCAGAGACACCATTTGTTACACAATTGCAGGATATGGCTCCCTGGCCAAGCCATCTGATCCTTTCTCCTGTCCCAGGACTCAGGACTGAGTCCCCTTCCCTTTCACATACACCTTAAGAATCTTCTCTTCATTTTGAGGCAGGGTCTCATGTAGCCCAGATTAGCCCAGAGTTCGCCATCTACCCTAATTTTATCTTGAACTTCTGCCTCCAACTCCCTAATGCTAGGGTGACAGGTGTGCACAACCATACCTGGTTAATGTGGACTTGGGGACAGAGCCCAGGGCCTGGTGCATGCTGGGTCAGCACTGACAGCAAGCCCCAGCCTCAGTTTAAACTTCAAACTGAAAGTGTGTAATAAGGAATGGGGAGAGGGATTCTAAGTGGTCAGGGGTCACCTCTATCACACAGAGGTCGGGACAGGAGGACCAGAGGTTAACCTTGGCATAACCGTGCACTGCTGAAGACACAGAGGAACAGTCTGTGTCTCTATCTCTGTGACTTGAGGAGGGTAAAAATATAACCTTGGTCATATGAACGACAGCCATTCCCCAATCTGGCAACACTGGAACCTGGAAATCCTTCAGTTCTCTGATCCCAGACTCCAGTGGGGAGTTGGGGGGGTCACCTTACATAGGGGGGCTCCCAAGAGGCCAAACTCAGAGAAAGCTGGCTACACTCCAAACTTACATTAAGAACCTCCTAGCCAAGCGTTGGTGGCACATGCCTTTAATCCCAGCACTCAGGAGTTAGAGGCCGGCAGATCTCTGGGTTCGAGGCCAGCCTGGTCTACAGAGCGAGTTCCAGGACAGGCTCCAGAGAAACTCTGTCTCGAACCCCCCCCAAAAAAAAAGAACCTCCTAAAGTCAGGGTGGGGGGGGATGCTTGGAGATAGAGATAGGGAAGAGATGGGGAGGGACTCGGATGGAGATGGGGGAACAGGCAATAGGAGGATGCCTCCAGGTCCACTCTGGGGAGCCTCAAATTCAGAAAGCGGATTAATAGGAAGAGAGGCACCCCTTTGAACTCAGAAGCTTGTGGGCTCTATGGAAGCAGACAGTGGAACTCCCGGGTAAGCCACCATCCCCCTCACCGTCCCATCAGCCCCTCCCTGACTCCGGTTTCAGTGGGTGGGTTGAAGGGTGTAAAGGAAGCCCCGCCCTATCACTGACGCCCTTCTCCCCTGAGACCCCACCCCTGGGCCTGTGTCCGGGAGCACAGGGCTGGAACCTGGGGCAAAGCAAAACTTTCCCATGACGAGGAGATGAAGGAAACGTTCCAGAGCTCAGTCTCCTTCAAATACTGGCTGCTGCCGCAGCCAAGAGGCTTTGCAGGAATGTTTTAGACCCAAGCCCATGGCCCTGTGCACCCTGAGCCCGCGGGCCTCTCAGCGTTGGGGGCAATCTCAAGGGTCCAGCCAGGCAGGCGCCTGAGTCTCCTAGCAGAGGGAGGGAAGGAGGGGGCGGTTTGTTTTTTGTTTTTGTTTTGTTTGGTTGGTTTCTTTTGTTTTGTTTTTAAGTTTTTATTTTATTTAGTTCTTCCTGTCTTCTGGTAGTTCCAGGAATCGAACTCAGGTGGTCAGGCTTGCTGCAGAGGGTCTACCCTTCTGCCTGCCTGCCTTTCTTTGTTCTCTCTCTCTCCCCCTCTATCTCCCTTCCTCCCTCCCTCCCTCTTTTCCTCCCTCTTTTCCTTCCTCCCTTCCTTTATATTTCTTTCAAGACAGGGTCTTAATATATAACCGAAGCCAGATTCAAACTCATGATCCTCAAGCCTCAAATTCCTGAGTGTCAGTGTGACATGGTCTAGCTACCACACATGACTAACTTTATAAGTTTTAAGCCCCCAGGTAGGGCATACCACTGGAAACTCCTCCAGACCCCCCCCCAAGAAAGCCTAAATTAGGCCCTAAACCCTCTATTATTTTATCCCCAAAGTCCCTGGTATCTGTGTAAAGTCTTGAGAAAACAAATTCAATATAGGAGCTCTTGCCCATCTGAGCTCAAAGCCTGACCATGTCTCTTAGCAACCAGCTATTCCTTGGTGGGGGCAGGGGCTCTCTCAGCCTCAATTTCCTTACTTGCAAAACAAGACCACGAAGGGCCATCGAAAGCACTTGGGGCCTAGCACATGACAAACTCTCACACAATAGTAAAATTGTAAAGTTCACAAGCAATGGACACAAGCGTAGATCTCTTGTTTTATATCCTTAAAAATGAGCTTGCTGAGCAATGGTGGCACGTGCCTTCAATCCCAATACTAGATAGGCAGAGGCAGGTAGATCTCTGAGTTTGAGGCCAGCCTGGTCTACACAGTGAGTTCCAGGACAGACTCCAAAGCTACAGAGAAACCCTGTCTCAAAAACAAAAAACCCCAGGTACCTTGGTGCCCATCTGTAACCCCAGCTCTGGGCAGGCAGACATGACTCAGGACTCACTGCAGCCAGTCTAGCTAAGTCAGTGAGTTCCAGGTTCTATGAGAGACTCTGTCACAAAAAAAAAAAAAAAAAAAAAAAAAAAAAATAGATGAAAGGCCAGGTGGTGGTGGCACATGCCTTTAATCCCAGCACTAAGGAGGCAGAGGCAAGAGGCAGGCAGGACATTCTGAGTTCGAGGCTGGCTTGGTCTATGTAGAACAGCTACTACTGCACAGCAAAAAAACTTGTCTGGAAAAAAAATAAACAAAAAGAATTAAGTCCCAAAAAGACATAAGGAGCCAGGGTAGGGGACACCCCAGGAGAGCCCTGTGTGGCCAGAGGAAGATGGGGCCTCAAATCTCTCCTGTGTGGGACACCTGATGATGGGTCATCTTGGCTGTCAGCTTGATGCATCTGGAATCAACGAAAATCCAAGACATCATACAGGCCTTGGAGGGATTTTCTTAATCAGGCAAGTATTTGAGGCAGGATGACCCAGCCAAATCTCTTATTGTGGAAGGGCAGGTTTATCCTTCGTGCTGCTGAGGCAGAGACATTCCTTTCCTCATGTTAGAGCCTTCTTTGGGATTCCAGTGTGGGCAACCCTCTAGGACTCCAGATGGGGATCACTGAGGCATCTGGCCTTGAGGCCTGAGCATGACTAGGTTCTCCGCCCCTCTGGTATGAGATGGCCATTGTTGGGATACCCAGACCACATCCTGTGAGTGCTCCAATCCCCTTCTGTAGTTCCATGGTCCTGTTTGTCAGAAAGCACTGAAGGGCCACAGTATGATATGGCACCAGTTGCCACCAGTATGACCAGCAAGAATATTATCTCCAGAAAGTTCCTGGTTGGGT